AGTGTATTATTTTACTTGTAGCTTTGTCCGACTATCCTTCTGTGTACAGCTATCTTGTCTCTACTGTTCTCCAGCTCTCTCTCTCTCTCTTGTGTTCAAGCTAACACATACTCACAAGCTATCTTGTCTCTCCTGTTCTCCAGTCATCATGGTTAAATGGGCGCCCTCCTCCCTCCCCCCTTTTTTCACACACAAAAAGTTACCACTCCTATTAAAAATCTACCTTGAAACTACAACCTTGACGATCTAGTCAACATGATCTAATGCTCTCTCTCTCCCTCACCACATACACACACTTACACTCATTTTCATAATCTGTAAAGCTGTAAAGCTCTCTCTCTCTCGTATTCAAGCTAACACATACTCACAAGCTACTTTGTGTCTAATGGTCTTTAATCAACACACTGTATACCTCCCTCTTTTTCTCATTTCACAAAATCACAAACCATTCAAGCCAAACAATCTCTCCCCCACATATTGTCCCCCTTTGTTCTCATGTAGAACACACAACTGTACACACAATAAATAACACAGTGAGGGAAAAGAGACATTATCTCCTCCATTTGCTAGGTCCCTATATACCACATACCATTCTTCATTTACTAGACACCATGCAAGGAGGAGAAAATAGATATAAAGCCAACAATAAACCGACAGTAAAAAAATGTAATAATACATTTTATTACTGATACACAGACATGATTAAGCATAGCAACAAATATGAACAGATGCCATAAAAATGTTCAAAACATTAAACACTACACTACATATGGGCCCGAGCAACAGCAAAACACAGCAGAAACATATATACATTTGCTTGCCAGATGTTTTCTCTCTCTGTTAGATTTATATTTTAAAGTCTGCATTTTTTCCAATGTCCTGGCTTGCCAAGACAGTGTTCCACGATATCAGTGCCCAGGAGTGGCAGGATTAGATGATACTTTTGACCAGTTTGGAAGAAAAGTCTTCAGAGACTTGAAGCTGCAAATCCCCAAGGGTGAAATGCAACATGAACTGTACAAGTAAGATGTGAGACTTCCCAGTCAGGTCAACCATTTCAACACTAAGCCACTACCCAGAATGCATCAGATTCTGAACATTTCCTGTCTCCTGCTGTTGTGAAACAAACATTGAAACACAGAATCATTTACATCTGGGCCGCACACAAAGAAAGGACTATTTATACCACAAAAAGGAAAAAAAAAATGACAATTAGGCTATGAAAAGCTTACACAGAAACACAGACCTATTTATACACACACAACAGAACAAAGTTCTAGTTATTTAAAAAAAATTTATTACACTTAGACAACGCAGACTATTTAAACAAAGTCAATCAGAAGAGAATATAGAGCAAACTACAGTAAAACCTTGTCAGCACAATTCGCTCAATACGAATACTCAGTTAACATGAACAAAATGTTGGTCCCAACAGGGATACCATTTTAATTAGTCCCCAGACAGCAGAAATTTGTATAAGATGATCTCTGGATCTGTGTTAGCAAGGTTTTACTGTATAAATATACACACAGTCTATAAACATAATAGCTACTTCATTTTCTGCCTCAATATTGCACAGTAACTGTTTAGTTCATCATCTCTGATCAATATGAGAAGTTGAACAGCCATGTTTTCCAATTCCATTCAACATAAATACAACAAACAACACTGTCATGTTAAAATATTTCAAAACAAAGAAACATACAAGGGGTATTGAGAAAAAAAGTACAGAGAAAATGCTTTTATTTTTTTAACACTCAGAATAAAACAGGCAACTTTCAAATCAAACAATGAGAATATTGTTGGCATAATGCCAAAGTCACAAAACTGTAATATTGTCAGATTCAGTGTATTGTCAGGGCTGTGATTTGTTATTTTACAATATGCTAAGAGGCACACATGAGAATTGCAACTACACACAGATCAAAACAAAGAATTATTTTTTAAAGCAACTACAACATTTTTCAGAGAACAAAGATTTAGAGCGAGGTGAATCCGGCACAGTGCAAACAATATACTCTTGTCATGAATGAAAACAAATCCGGTTTCACACAAAGAAAACCTACACACCAGGAAGGTCAATAGTTAAAGGTCACCCATCTAAACTCTTCCTGTGTTCATTTTATATTACCTCAATATCAGCTATACAACCACGGCCAAACTAAACAAAATAAATGGCTCAAACATTCACACTAAAACAAGTCATATATAATAACATATAACAGCTCACAGAACTGCCGACAGAAATCACTAGATGTTACTGTGCAAACATCTTCAACAGAGCACATTTAAATCAACATGTCTATCTATTTACTAAAAACTGTGGTCTCTATTGCACTGACATCGGCTGTCTCCAGTAGTCTGGTCATGTTTGTTCTCTTGGACTGGCCAGCAACTGTTTGTATCCACCACATGAGCAACACTGAAGTGCATCTTGGCACATGAAATATTTGTTAAGTCTATGAAACATACCAGTTACTAACCTATTATACCACCATTCATCAATCCTAAATGGCATCTTAATTAATCCTAAGTGGCATCTTCACTAACCCTAAATGACATCATTCACTAATACTAAGTGACACCATTCACTAATCCTAAGTGACACCATTTACTAATTCTACACTTTTAGAATATAAAAAGTGTAGCCAACTACAAGAAAATACAAGCAAATTTTGGAAAAAAGCAAATTTAAAATTTGCTGAAAATTCACAAACTCCAAGAAAGATATGCAAAGACAAACAAATGAATGAATATATGAATCAGGAATGAATGAATTGTGTCAAAAGAAGAAAAATGTGAGGTACACATAAAGTTTCAAGTCACTATACAGTGTTTCATTTAGTTAGCACAAAACACATGCTGGGAAAAGTTACTGAACTAGATGCGTTGAAAAGATGACTATGTTATATGCTTGGGAATTAATGTGTTATAAAACACCATATGAAAAACCCAATGAGTTTTTAATCAAGCAGAATTTTAAATCACTTTGCTAAAACATGTTAGAAATCACACGTTTCTCATATTTGTTTATCACTGTAAAACACACTAGTCTATAATGTCTTGTAATAAATCACACTTTTCTAAGATAGCAGTGCTATAATAAATCATGTTTTTAAATAATTAAGCTATATTTGCTACATTACAACTCCAAATCAGACTTTATTAACCCTGTTGCCCCAAGAAGCCGCAAACCCGACATTTCTGCTATGGCCCATTCTGGAAATGTTGGGCTCTACGTCTGCGCAGTATTTAGAAGGCACAGATATGAATATAGTTACTAAACCTAGCACTGGCCAAAGGTGGGGGTGACATTTTTTTGTGAACATCAAGGAAGGCTGCATCCTGTTGCAAAAGCTGCAGAATTTTGGCCATGTCAAACGTCATTGTAGGTTACACAAAACTGTGATGGAGGATCCAGTTTCTGGAAAATGAGGCAGAGGCCGACCTCCGTGAAGATGCAGTGGCTATGAAAGCACATAGGGCTGGAGGACTAGAGAAAGGGAAACTTTCGGGCGTCCCATGATGACAAAAAATTATATATATTTATATATCCCCCCCCCCCCCCCAATAAACACTGGCTGATTTCATATATTACAAGTAAAGCCGCGACATATTACAGCACCAAGCTAAATATTGGGAAGCAACTGTAAGGACAGGGATGGCTTTTCACTGGCACAGAAGCGGTGTGTTAATGGCGTGACCTACTTGCCGTGCCACTGGAGGAATGTCATTAACTAACTAAAAGTGTCTAAGGCAATGAATCCTATTTACAACCATTTTAATACAATCAACTCTCCCCCCCCCCCCCCCCCCCCCACCAAAGTCAACCACATGTAACTTAGCGGACTGAAAACTACATGAAAGTATTCTACTACAACCAGAATAATAAAGCAGCAATGAACATAAGAAGTGCTGTTTATATGCAAATGCTGTAAGGTTCTTAGTCTGCAGAATCAAGAAGTGACAGATAAATATTTACAATGAGAGGGAGATTGATTCCATGAATGAGGTTGATACAGTGTGACTTTCATGTAGATACGATTAATTCCATGGATGAGGCTGGTACCGTATATCATGTAGAAAATAGAAACACAATAAAAAAATATGTGGACTGTTATTCTATCGCTACAGATTACAACAGAAATCACTGGAATGATGGCCTTTTCCAAAACACAGCCACAGAAAAGCAAAACACAAACAATGAAGTTAATCATTTCTAAAAAAATGTCAAGGAATTTAAAAAAAAAAAAATTATATTGACGCTACACCGTCTAGCATGGCTGGGAAAATAAGACAGTAGAAATCAGGCTGGGAAAATAAGACAGTAGAGATCAAAGTCCAATTCAAACATGCTCAAGAGAAAACAAGAAATGTTGGTTAACAGTACAGCTTATAGATATTACCTCTTTGAGTCCCTAGGGCTTTAGCATCAGAGGCCCAAGGGGTGGTCAAGAGAGACGTAGAATCGGTGCATCTTGCGTTCATTGGGCATCTAGGTAGGAACCTATAAACTTATGATGCGTTCCTTGGGACTCAAAGAGTTAAATAAGCTGACAAACCAAACCTAAACAGGAGCAACAATTTTCAAAAACAGGACAAGCAGCAAATGATAGCAGTAGAGTTCAAGATCACAAAATAACAGTGAAATAAATGAAGTACATTAACATAATTATAGTTCAGATAAATAAAAGTTTCAAATGTGTTTCTAAAAATGCAATGGTTTTTTTTTTTTACACACACAGAAATGGAAAATTGACATTTACTGCACCACATAAATGCAGCGTTACAATGTCAAAACACACATACCATTATCACCAACAAGCCTTCACACATCACCTTCACTACCACACAACAAACACATGCACGCAAAAAAAGAAAGCATTCTGTCGGACACTGCCAAAAATTTGATCAAAGTCTGGCCACAATAACTGAATTAATGAGTTCCAAAATATCATTACTGACACAAAGACAAACAAAAAAGGGTTCAAGCGAGTAGTTTATCGCCCAGACTTGGAGTGCTGGATCAACCACTGCAGGGTGATGTCTGCAAAATAAACAGAACATGATAGTGCACTCACATAAACTGACCTGGAAATTCCTGGGAAACATTACCTCGTCCTATCTCACCATTAAGAGATGTGACATTTACTTGCCACAGGGTCAAATTCTCATCAAGGTGAGCTGACTGACTGTAAGGTTCTGATGTTAAACCACCCTCGTGAAGGTGAGCTGACTGACTGTAGGGTTCTGATGTTAAACCACCATGAAGGTGATCTGACTGACTGTAGGGTTCTGATGTTAAACCACCCTCATCAAGGTGATCTGACTGACTGTAGGGTTCTGATGTTAAACCACCATGAAGGTGATCTGACTGACTGTAGGGTTCTGATGTTAAACCACCATGAAGGTGATCTGACTGACTGTAGGGTTCTGATGTTAAACCACCATGAAGGTGATCTGACTGACTGTAGGGTTCTGATGTTAAACCACCATGAAGGTGATCTGACTGACTGTAGGGTACTGATGTTAAACCACTCTCATCAAGGTGATCTGACTGACTGTAGGGTTCTAATGTTAAACCACCCTCATGAAGGTGATCTGACTGACTGTAGGGTTCTGATGTTAACCCCCCCCCCCCCCCCCCCCTCATGAAAGTGAACTGACTGACTGTAGGGTTCTGATGTTTAACCCCCCCCCCCTCCCCCTCATGAAAGTGAACTGACTGACTGTAGGGTTCTGATGTTAAACGCCCCCCCCCCTCCCCCTCATGAAAGTGAACTGACTGACTGTAGGGTTCTGATGTTAAACCACCCTCATTAATAAAATCTACTCAAGTGTACAGGGAGGTCAAATGACAGCATAATACCAACCACATGATAAATCTGGTGATGCCATCTGGCCAGGAAAATGAATGGCCTTGTGCCTTGATGGCACATGGCTCCTGTACATTTATGAGACCAACATATTAGCTTGGCAGCCATTGTAGTTTAGTAGCTGGCTCTGCAGGTTTCAGTTGGCTGTTTGTAGTTTTATTAGGGATTTTATATCCAGCAGTTTGCCACTGCTTTCTAAGCAGTTTGACTTTCATTCCAAAGTCAAAATTGATGCAAAATGATCTGCCCCAACATTGCAGCCAGTATGTTGGAATTATTAACTTTGAAGATAGTTTCTTAATGTAACATTTCTGCCCGAATCAATCGGCCAATAGAGCATTAATAACTCAATGCTGCTGACCCTCAGAACACTAATGTTTCTTACGGATCTTGACATCGGAGAATTATCATGTGACATACAATGGCCTATTAAACATCCTGGTTGTTTAGGAAGACTAGCAATGGAAGGCTGTATAATAGACCAATGACCCCATGACCTCTGTGATACTGCAGGAAATAAGGCAGCTGAAAAAAAAACACACACACACAGAAAGAACATTTCAGAAGTGATCTTAGTGAAAGAAGCAATTATATTCACCATGAGAAAGAACAGAAAGAGGCAAAAATATTTACTAGGAGGTAGCAGAAAAACATACAGATATAAATCACATAGACAATCCCATTCTAATGATAGACAGACTATAGAAAAACCATCTATTTTTTTTAACACTTTAAGAGGACACTAGACTTTGCACAGACTAGTGTACAACCAGATACACAGACCAGTGTACAACCAGATACACAGACCAGTGTACAACCAGATACACAGACCAGTGTACAACCAGATACACAGACCAGTGTACAACCAGATACACAGACCAGTGTACAACCAGATACACAGACCAGTGTACAACCAGATACACAGACCAGTGTACAACCAGATACACAGACCAGTGTACAACCAGATACACAGACCAGTGTACAACCAGATACACAGACCAGTGTACAACCAGATACACAGACCAGTGTACAACCAGATCAGGCCAGTAAACAACCAGATACACAAACCAGTGTACAACCAGATACACAGACCAGTGTACAACCAGATACACAGACCAGTGTACAACCAAATACACAGACCAGTGTACAACCAAATACACAGACCAGTGTACAGGTGACACATATACTGACCATGACCTCTTATCACCTCCAGGTGGCACGCCCTGGACTGACATTACTGTTGCCAATGAAAGGGGGATGATAGCAGAAGATTACAACAATTCTCCCCGTGACAACTACTTTTTTCTCCCATGAGTAAACCCTTAAAATGGCGACTGGCACATGATGTTGTATGCTAAGCAGCGATATCTATACCTTTCAGCCCAACATATCAGAGTTCCGCAAACCCCTAAGTAGTGGCCTTATGGGACATGCTTGTGTGGGGATCAGTGGGTTTATTCTTGTTATCCCATAAAGGGAAACAGTAAACAATTGGTGCCCAAGTCTTGCTCTCAACATCTGCACTACTCACAAGCAGCCTCAGAATCAGGGTGGAGCCTGTTCACTGCGAAGAAACTCTGTCACCGCCAGTCCAAAACTGACAGAACTGTATAAAACTGAACTCGATTCAACAGAGGGTGACACCACAGCTGATGTTTATACAACAGATACAAGCATAATGACAACTGTGTGAATCCTTACCTATGTTCTCCTTCTCTTTGCATGATATAGAATAGCAACAGATCTCTCTATCTTGAATGGCGGAAAGATTCCTGCAGAAAAGCGAAGATCACATCACATTCGATCCAGGAATTTCAGCAGCAAAAATCAAGATCTTCTGTTCATTCATATTTAAGAAAACAATCCATAATTTATTACCCTTACGTTGACTGCAACAAAAATGTGAAGCTCGGTCAGAAAAAAAAAGAATGTTGATTAGTGCACTTGGACCGCTTCTCACTGGACAACTGATGTCTTTCAGAACAGGCCTGCAAAAATATTTCACCAACTAGTTCAAAGTTGATCTTTGTGTCTCTGTTTGTAGCTTTCAAGAGAACACCTTTATTCTGTTTATCTAACTAATGCATAGACCTTTGTAAACTTTAATATGATCAGTCAGATTCTGCAGCTTCACATTTTTCTATGAAATGCTAATCCTCTTTAGTCAGAACTTAACCATGCCCAGTGGGACAGAGCTGCTGTACTTTGCTTCAAGCATGGCTTACAGTAACATGGGTGGAGTTATGTGTACATAAGATCCAGCATGCAGGATGACTGTTTACAAAATGGTTAGTTATTGTTGTCATTACTTCAGCTCTTGAGATATTTAGGCAGGTTCCAGATCTGTTGTCTGCCTTGATATATCTGTATATGCATGTCTATTCTTTGGGATGCACCCTCTACACGTTTCCAGAATAATTTGCTCTCTCTCTTACTCCCTATGAAGTTTCTTTACACCTCAAGGTGCAAATCAAGATGTAGCCACTTCATGGGAGTCTTGCTTCGACAGTGTCACCCGCAGACATCAAACATCCTACTTACATTCTTTCGATCAGCTCTTTCTCGTCCAGAGCCCCGGGCAAGTCCCTCTTGTTGCCCAGCACCAAGACTGGGATGCCCTGCAGCTGTGGCTTGTCTAGAAGATTGTGAAGTTCATTGCGAGAGGCCTCCAGCTTGTCTTGGTCTGCTGCGTCCACCATATACCTGCAAGTTTCATACACATCAAGACGGTCAGCATGCATATATTCTGCTAAAAGTTAAGGGTCATCTGAATAGAGTACGCTGGCTTTGTCAAAAGTCAGGGCTCAATCCTTACACCCCAGCATTGCTAAAAATAACAGGTTATGAACCTGTGGGAATTCCCGAGAAAGAAAGTCCTTAAAACAACCATTCTGCCTAGGTTACCAATAAATTATATTTGAATGTAATTATCCACTTTTTAATATAAATGTTTTTTTTATAAGTAAAGATATATAGAGGGAGTTGAAAAAAAAACCCAGAAAAGACACTCTCTGTGGCTTCATTTATATATATATAAAAATACAAACAGCTTTAGCATGTGATAACCAAATAACCATTTTTGTTACTGTGCTAATAACACCATTTAAACGACCACTAATATAAAGACACAATTATAAGGCGCGTGTTCTAAAGTTGGAAAACCAGACTATCTCTATATCTGTGCAGAAAATGATTGCGACATTAACTATATTAGACACGTGCGATTTCCATTGTCTTTCTTTTCCAAAAACCTTTGATGAGGGAGAGAGTAGTAGGTGGATTTAGTTGTGGTGGTGGTGGTGGAGGGGGGGGGATCAAAGACTATTTCTATATCTGTGCAGACAATGATTGTATTAGACACGTGCGATTTCTATTTTCTTTCATTTTCATTTAGCCAAACTATGCCACAGCAACGCGTGGCCGGGTACAGCTAGTATATATATATATATATATATATATATATATATATATATATATATATATATATATATATATATATATATATATATATAAGGTAACTCATGCTGTACTTCCTTCAGCTCTATCACTGAGTGTAAAGGAAATTGTTTACATCATAATGACTTAATAAAAATCTAAATCCTTCACAAGAAAACCTCTTAAAGGCTATTTTAGTGATTATTTATTCACATCCAGACTCATGCACACAGTGCAGCTGCAAACACAACCACTATAATTTTCCAGAATAGACCACTGCACTGCAGAACTGCTGATAGGTCTGCATTTATGGGACTGTGTCCCAACCAAAAGTCACTCAATTTAAGCTTCCTAGGGCAACAGGGTTAAAAGGTTGAAGGACTGACTTAGCTGCATATGGTTTTATCCCATACTGCTGTTTCTTTCCAAAGAGCAGCAGACTGACTGCCAGAAGAATTTCACAAAGAATGGAACTTTGGACTGTCAATTTCTCTGGAAGGGCAAAGACCTGTTCAAGACCATCTCCATCTGACGGGCCATGCTGCTGACGTCCCCTAACCGAGCTAATGATACGTTATAATATCATAAGCCCAGTTTTGTGATGTCAACAGCATGGCCCATCAGATGGAGACGGTCTTGACCTGTTCATAGGCAGATATAGACGTGCTCATGGCCTAGAAAACCCCATTGGATGGAATCTCGTGGAACTTAACATCACAAAAACCTTGCACAGTTAGATTCACTGATCTCGAAGTTAGGGAGGACCATCATTAGCTCCAAGAGGTTCTCCTTGAAAAAGATGTTACTCCTGTTTCGTGACCCCAAAAAAACTTACCATTAGGATGCGTAACACTGGGGTTCCGAGAATAAATATTAGTTTAGAAACAAAACAATCTTAAACAAAAAAGGTTAATATTTAATATAACAAGTCCAAAATGAATGTTGAATACTTACACAATAGCATTAACTCCTCGACAATATCTCTCCCACATGCTCCTGAACCTGGGCTGTCCACCGATGTCCCACAACTGTCAAATATATGTCAGAACAGGTGCAAGTTATACACAGGTCATCATCCTGTAGAGAAGCCACTGACAGATCTTCATATATACTTCAGATTTCCTCATTATCAGTGTACAAAATACTCAGTCACCACAAGGATTGGTTTCCACATTTGAAGGCAGGTTAGTTGTATGGTGCTGGTCCCAACAGCACAACCAGCATCTGATGACTGATGTTGTCAATATTACGCTAGCCATCTTTACTTCCCAAAAAATTTGCTGGTACCCATTTAAGTCTTTAGCTGATCTGAGCTAATTAATTTTTTAAATCTTGTCGGTGGAGATGTGAACATACGACCACCAGGTCAGTAGACAAGCAGGTCTGCCACTGCGCTATGTCAGCTGCCCATGACCATCATCAATCAGCAGAATGTCGCTCTTGTGACGGCATGCCTGAAAAACAATCTTTCTCTAGCCAGCTCTCCAGCCCCATGTGCTTCAAAGAGGTCTGCCTCTGCCTTGTTTCCAGAAACTGTACCCTCCATCACCGTTCTCTCCAGGCCACCATAACATTTAACATGGCCAATATACCCCACCTTTCGAGACAGGATGCTGTTTATGAGCCAGTTCTCCTGGATGCTCAGATCATGCTGGTACCCATGTTACCATGACTACACCAAACACATGAAAGATCAAATATAACATTAAGAGCTGGTTGAGAATGTTGATTTCGCAAGGAATGGGGGGGGGGGGGACAAAAAAGAATACTACAGATTTAACTGCAGACAGTTGGAGGTGTTTTTGGTTTGTAAAGGATCACTTTCATTGCACACAGTTGGAGTTGTATGTGGTTTGTGAAGGATCACTTTCATTGCACACAGTTGGAGATGTATGTGGTTTGTGAAGGATCACTTTTATTGCACACAGTTGGAGTTGTGTGTGGTTTGTGAAGGATCACTTTCATTGCACACACATATCTCTGTTAAGTGCCACAATATTCTCGCTGAGGCCGCACAAGGTGACTCCTTGAACAGTGAACAAATCTGCAGCATTAGCAAGGATACAGGTGTATACCAAAGTCACTGTCAACTAAAACTGTCACTAAAAGGTTAGTTGTGTATCCTTTACAGGACACTGCAGAACTAACCCCAGCATTTGTTGTTATTGCTTTTCAATAGTTTGCCACTGCTTTCTAAATGTTCAGCTTTCTGTACCACTGTCAAAACCAAAGCAACTCGCTCAAAGCTGGGATGGAACCCAGCACCCTGGAATTATAAAGCGCGGTTTGCAACGCCTAAGCCACAGTCCGCACGAAAGATTGATGCTGTAACTGCTCGCCCAGCCACTCCTACACACGCTGTAAATACTTGTGTGAGTGTGTATGGGGGAGGGGCAGTATGTTTTTTAGTGCAACCATTTCCCAGTGGAACAGGTTTAGCTTCCATTTACCAGCAGAACAGGTTCAGCTTCTATTTATAAGCAGATAGGTTCAGCTTCTATTTACCAGTGGAACAGGTTTAGCTTCCATTTACTAGTAGAACAGGTTTAACTTCCATTTACCAGTGGAACAGGTTCAGCTTCCATTTACTAGCGGAACAGGTTCAGCTTCCATTTACCAGTGGAACAGGTTCGGCTTGTAGAATTCTAGGATCCAGCCTGCTTTAAAGCACAGGTACACAGTAACTGTTCTGGAATCTCATGTTCTAAACTGAGGTTCTACAAGCAAGCCTCTTGCTTAACACACTGCTCATCACCATTGCCTGTGGTTTCCCTGTCTCTCTATAGCACACAATAATACTATCATCTGGAAAGGTGCCAACAACATGATAATTGTCAGAATCTCCTGGAAACTGCCTGGCAATAAAAGACAATGAGGAGAGGAAATGATCACCTCAATTCAACATGCAAGCGTGCCTACACTTCTGATCCCTATGACAGTATCTGTCAATAGGCTTGAGTTAATCTGTGAATAAATGCATTAATGACATAATAGTTTAACCTATAAATTAATGAGTGACTGGGTTAACCTAAGAATTTCTGAGTTTACCTACAAATTAATGAAAGTCTGAGTTAACCCATGAATCTTCTTCTTCTTTGTTCACCGGCTGTGAATTCCGGCGGAAGGCCCCGGTTAATCGTCTGCTTGGACTTTTGGCTTTTACCTGGACCTGAGTTTTGCGTGTACAACCGTTTTGCTGTTCCCTGCCTCACGGGCAGATGTACTCCGACTTCGAGGGAAGACGTCAGGCCTATTTCTAGGTTGACTGTGGCCATTGTTTTGTGTGGGTCGAGACGCTGCCGGATTTGTGTGGTGTCCTCCTTGTTGACCTCTCCGCAGGTGTTGCCCCTGGAGTACCCCTTTGGGGCAGCCCCTTGTGGAACGGTTAGCCCTCAAGGGAAGGCAGGGGCAGATCATGGGCATTTCCCAACATCCAAGGAGGCTTCCATGTATGCGGAACCGGCACATGGCGCTCCGGTTCTGGGCTCACCCAAGGAATCGTTACGTCCTGCACATGCCTGCTTAACCTCACAACCGTATTAGGCCTCCCGCTCGACAAGAGCTGCGCCCTACAGAAATCAGCGGGGAGCAGCCCGCGGGTTCTGGACTTTTGTGACCACACGAATAGGTACAATCTTTAGACATCTTTGACGAGCCGTTAGCACGACAGAATTTAACATCCTGTGTCAGGCATATCGTTATCTGTTTGGTCCCAACACTCAGGCGAGTGGGGTCTTTGGGTGTGGACATTTTGACTTTTTCCCATTCAATACGATTTGTGATGGTCGGATTTTGAGCTTACTCATGTGCCGTAGGATCTAGTTTTGTCGGACATTTAGGCTTAGCCAGCCAATGGGCTGTTGCTGTTGTGGTGTACCTCAGCGCGGTGACGATGACACTGAGGGTTAACAGAGGATGTACATGGGTAGAATCTTGCTGCGAGACGCCACATACAGGAAATGTTACTCGTCTGTGCTGCGGGTAAATCTCTAGATCAAGGATTGAGTCTCAGCAGAACAATGTTCTCTTCACTCCGCAATATTTTAACCAAGGGTTGTAATTTTAGTTGTACGTTTGGCAAGCACTTTACTCATGTACTTAATGAGTTTTGATAACCTTTTTTTACCCAGGCTGATGAGAGCCACAAGGACACATCACCTCTGGGGGGCCGCCAAACACCGAGATCCCCTGACAGCTCTGTAAATGCTCATTGAAGACATTATTCGTGGTGTACGACGAGGATGTGCTGCAGGGGTCTTGCGTAAGGTTCCGTAAAACCAGAACAGTGAAGGACTGGCGCCCGAGTGATGTACGGAGTATCTCCTTATACACATCATGTTGGACTTAAATTCCCCTCACGCCTGTGACATAAATCACTGCGCCACTAACCCATGAATAAAATCAACAATCAGCTACTTGCCTTGATTGTCACATTGCCTTTAGAAATCTTCCTCATGTTGAAGCCTACTGTAGGAATCATGTCCTCGCTAAACTGTCCAGACTGTGAGAGAGAACACAAATGGCATCCATGAACAGTTTCTGACAAGATATGTCATTATCGATAGGAAATTAATCAAAGTGACAAAACAGACACAAAGACAACTGTACCTGAGTGAATTAAACACGCTGTGGTCTCAGGGTGAGCACGGTAGATAATGGTGGGGTAACCATCAGTATGCAGAGGGTACGTCTGCTCTCTTGTTAAGCAAGACGTACAACATGCCCAGTCAGACATACAACACACCCAGTCAGACATACAACACACCCAGTCAGACGTACAACACACCCAGTCAGATGTACAACACACCCAGTCAGATGTACAACACACCCAGCCAGACATACAACACACCCAGCCAGACATACAACACACCCAGCCAGACATACAACACACCCAGCCAGACATACAACACACCCAGCCAGACATACAACACACCCAGCCAGACATACAACACACCCAGCCAGACATACAACACACCCAGCCAGACATACAACACACCCAGCCAGACATACAACACACCCAGCCAGACATACAACACACCCAGTCAGACTTACAACACACCCAGCCAGACATACAACACACCCAGCCAGACATACAACACACCCAGCCAGACATACAACACACCCAGCCAGACATACAACACACCCAGCCAGACATACAACACACCCAGCCAGACATACAACACACCCAGTCAGATGTACAACACACCCAGTCAGATGTACAACACACCCAGTCAGACCTACAACATAACCAGGACACACAACACACCCAGTCAGATGTACAACAGTCTTGTTTCTGGTTAGCCCCTATGTTTAAATAAGTGACAGGTTAAGGATTCTCTTCTGTGCCTTGAGGTAAGGTCAACAGTGCCAGTTCCATAGTTGTATTTTTTTTTTAAACAGACCCACCGGCACTTCATGGGTCATGTAGTCAGATTTTCCTTCATCTCAGTGTTCACCGGCTGTAAACTCTGGCAGAAACTTCTGGTTGTTCACCCACTTCTGGACTTCAGTCTTGTTGCAGAACTTGACTTTTGCATGCACATCCATTTTACAGATCTGGGTTATTTGTTGGCAGACTGTTGGTTCCTGGTCTCTTAGGCAAAGGCACTCTGACTTCAAAGCAATAGCCCCTAATCAGTCATCTTTTATGGCATGTTTGTTAAGGCAGCAAGAAGGCCCCCTCCCCCACCACCAAAATAGGACCGCAGAACTCACACATGCTTAGAAAGATGCACACATGCTTAGAAAGATGCACACAGGCTTAGTCAGATTCATTTAGGCTTTGTCAGATTCATTTAGGCTTTGTCAGATTCACACAGGTTACACTTTACCTAAAAAAACATAAAGATATCTGAGACCCATTTTGTATGTGCTGTCTGATGTGTTCAACAACATTCCTAACAACAATCGTGTGGGCCCGCAGACACAATGTGTTCTCACAAGCTCTCTTAAGCAGACATTTTAGAGTACTAAACTACAGACTGAAGTTAAAGACAGGGAGGACATAGGATGTTAGCAAAGGATAGGATGACTTGGCGTGAGTCAGTTAAGGGCCTATACTCCATGGAAGAGGGGAGGGGATAAGGGAGGAAGAAGAAGAAGAATGTGCTAGTGTAGAAGGGTTAAAAGTAATCAATACAAATCCGCCACTTAAGTGTCTTTTTAATCTTCCCGTTCAGCAACTCGTCATTAAAGTTACGCTTCATAGAGACACTCTAATATTGTTTGCTGTGAAAACAAATTTGTATGAACATGTTTTGAAAAACCAGAATTAGCAAAAAACGGAAGTCCTTTCATTTTTGATGTTCAGCATGGTGTTTGCATGACTTTCTGATTTGTTTTAAACTGATTAGGTATGATTCAATTTGTGTTATTTTCCAGACCAAATGATAAGGGAAAAGGTCTAGAACTGTTCATACTGCTCTGTCATTGATTAATCTCAGCCAGATAGTGACAACAGTCTTGATATTATGACTGATAATGCAAGTGACAAACCTATTGGCAGTAATGAAGGTTAGGATGGTGGTGAAAAAAATATTTCAATTGGATCATCTGTTTCGATCAGCCGTTTTCCCGAGTTTGGTTGTTGTGAAATCTGACATGCCATATAAAAATGGTCATGAAAAGTATTTAAATAAATTATTTCAAATAAACACTAGTTTGATACATAAATGAACAGAGAAGGCATGTGAATTCTTAGAATTTGATAGCAGTGTAGCTGAACAAGTAAAAAGTAAAGGTAATCACATCATTTTTCGCGTAAATAATTTTCAATGTGTGTCTAACATCCTTGAATGTTGTGTGATTTTTATAATGGTTTGTTGTAATACTGACACTTAAATAGTTTAGATTTGTTCTGCTCTCATTTCTCTTTAATTTGATATATGTCTTTATACAGCCAATACTTTTTTCTTAAGGAAGGTTTAAGCTTTGCCATGTTGCAGTAAAACAAATTCTGCTCAAAATTAATGCTCTCCAAATGTTGTCCTGAAAGAGTAGACAAAATAAACCAGACCCAACGGCAGATACCCCAATCAGAAAATAAGTGGGGTAAGCATTATATCATTACCAAGACCTGGGCCGGGAGTGGGGAGTCCCTGGAATAAAAGGTACGGGCACTCACTACAAAGTGTCTAAAAACAAAGGTTTGCTGGTATTAGCCACAAAGTATATTTTACTGTAGCGCTGAAGAAAATAACACCTAAACACAGGTGCAGGTACTTTGTACTGTTGTGCACCACCAGAAAAAGAGTCCTGACCAAAATTATTTAATGCTTCTTCAAAGAAGTTTAAGAAAATGAAAAGAAGCAGGGAAGATAATGGAACAAACGAATAAACTTAATTTTTAAAGAGTCACAAATTGGGCACACAGGCCTGCCTTACATTCATCCCTTCCAAACACCCATCTTTCACACAGCAACTAGAAAGTATAAGCAACTAGAAATACATCACTTTATAAAAGTATGCAAGTATGCATGTGTGTGTGTCTGCATGTGGATATATGAAAGTATATTTGGGTATGTATGTATGTGTGTAAAGATGTGAGTGTATGTATAAATGTGTGTATGTATACATGTATGTGTATGTATGCATATATGTGTGAATATATGTATGTATGTGGGTGTATGTATTCATGTAAGTGTAAATGTGTGGTTGTGGGCATATGTTGGTGTCTGTACATGTGATGGTATATGTGTGTATGCATGGGTGCATTTATAGATGTGTATGTATGGAATGTGTGTGTGCATGTACATCCATAAATGTATGTGTGTGTTGTTTTCTGTTTGTGGATTTATGTTTATGTATGTGTATGCTTGTATATGTATGTAGATGCATGTGTGTATGTATAATGTATGTCTGTATATGAGTTCACATGTATGAGAATGTAGGAGTATGTATACGTGTGTGTGAGTGTGTACGATTGTGTACACATGATGTGTATATGCATTATACTATAACTTATATTTCTTTATTATATCCATAACATGCATTATTAATAACAGGTATTGGTACTCTGAAAAATGAGTACTTAGAAGGGCCGAATGTCAGACGGACCTGCGTGCCCAATTTTTAACCCTTTGAAAATAAAGTTCATTCGTTTGTTCGTTCACATGAGGTTAAAAATAAATGCTGAGTGAATATATGCCACAAAGTTTGCAAATGATCAAGCCATCAAAGAAAAAAAAGAAGTGACCCTTTTCACACCACTTGTGAATCAGCACATAGTGCTAGACTGATATTTTTATATGGCCAATCAGCATTTGCTGGGTGATGTGTTCAAAATTTCACCGACCACCTTTACTTCCCAGCGCATTACCTGGTACCCATTTTAGGCCTGGTTATCTTGGCAGACAAGACCAGTGTAAAAAAGATCTGTCTCAACATTAATTTGACTGACAAACAAACTCAGAATTTTTAATTTAATACTCAAGTCAAAGACCACTAAACATGTACAGAAGTTTCCTCACCTGAGCTAATTAAATTCAGTAGATGCTCAATGTGAAACTAAAATAAGATCAACTGTTGACGTAGCTAACAGGTGTTCCAAGAGAAACAAACAGTCTTAATAACAATATTTAACTGCCCAGCAAATAATCACTATGTCTGTTTGGTCTGTAGCATTATATTGCTCTGAAAAAAATGTCAAATAATCACTACGTCCATTTGGTCTGCCCCCCCCCCCCCCCCCCCCCCCCCCCCCACACACACACAAACACACATAAAAATAAAGATTTCTGATACCCATTTTGCATGTACTGTCTGATGTGTTCAACAATATTCACAACACACACATATGACAACACTCTGGGGTGGCACACAACCATCACGTGGACCCACAGACATAATGTGTGCTCACAAGCTCTCTTAAGCAGACATTTTAGAGTACTAAACTACAGACTGAAGTTAAAAGACAGGGAGGACATGGGATGTTAGCAAAGGATAGAATGACTTGGTGTGAAAAAGTGTCAAATAATCACTACGTCTGTTTGGTCTGTAGCATTAAATTGCTCTGAAAAAGTGTCAAATAATCACTACGTCTGTTTGGTCTGTAGCATTAAATTTCTCTGAAAAAGTGTCAAATAATCACTACATCTGTTTGGTCTGCAGCATTAAATTTCTCTGAAAAAGTGTCAAATAATTACTAAAAGGTTAAAAAAAAAAGGTCAAGATGGGAGATGTGAACCAGCGTCCTTGCACACGGTTATAAACCATAAGTGCTCTGCCACCAGTACGAACAGCTGATGAGAAACTGTCTGCTTGTGTCGCCATCCGCATGAAACTCTGTAGCTACAGCGACGTTCCTCCATTTACCCCAGTGTTAACTCTGGTACCCATTTCCTAGAGGCTGGGTGAACCCCGGCTATGGGCTGCAGCGAGTCGCAGCTGGATCTGAAAGTGAGTCTCCTATCAACTGCGCTAATGCAGTGTCAAATAATTACTATCTCTGTTTGGTCTGCAGCATTATATCTCTCTGAAAAAAGTGTCAAATAATCACTACCTCTGTTTGGTCTGTAGCATTATATCACTCTGAAAAAATGTCAAATAATCTCTACCTGTTTGGTCTGTAGCATTATATCTTTCTGAAAAAGTGTCAAATAATAACTACGTCTGTTTGGTCTATAGCATTATATAGCTCTGAAAAAGTGTCAAATAATCACTACGTCTGTTTGGTCTGTAGCATTATATCGCTCTGAGAAAGTGTCTTTATTAAACAATGTTTTTAAGATAAGAACTAGCAGCTTTTGACACAGGCTGTTACTGCAGGATGACAAAAATACACTGGAGATAAAAAAAAAGAGATCACATGAATAAATTCTTAACTGTTTCTTTCTTCCTCTTCTACCCTACTGCTAAGGAAGCATTGCATCACAGAGAGGAGTTATGTGTAGTTTCCTGTCTTTTGCTAGTTGCATTAATTGTGTTAATGTCATGTTGAGTTTCTGTAGTGTCTCTTCTACTCCCTCAACCCATCTCTTTATTGGTCTGCCTCTTATATTGTAGCTTGCTGTTCTCATGTAGTATGCTCTAGCTGCTGGCTGATTTATTCCATTCTATCCACATAACCACACCATTTGATTCTTTTTGTTGTTCAATCAAATAATTCATCGATACTATCCCTATTGTTGTTCTTAGTTCTTCATGTGTGACTGTCTTTTCTAGTTTTTCCTTCCGTATTTCTCTTTCAATATCAGAGGATTTAACAATATACACAATTGAGCAATGAGACAAGATTACATTCAAAGAGGTAAATGTGTACAAAACAGAGTGCTGCATGTTAAAATATTTAGCCAGATTTCTTTTCTATGCTCACGCCACATATCCCACACTGACAAAAGATAACCACACATGTTGTGTTGATTGGGACAGAATGACAATGATGGAACTTCATACAAAACAAGAAAGTCACCTAATACTGGCAGCAATAAGAATCTTCGAGGTTGGTTACTGAGAATACTGGAAGGTTAAAAAACAATATGAGGGTGCTGAAGGATGTTTTTTGTTAACAGCATTGTCTGTTTGAGAATTGTTTGCCTGATAACCCTAAAATCTGGATATGAATTTTAACTATCATGGCTGCCATGTTTGAGCATAGTTAGTAATTATGTTACAATTTTTACTTATTACAGAAATGCAGTTATTATGTGTGAGTTATGTTTTAACAGTTGTAGCACTTTTAATTCATCTGCCATTACTTTAAGTTTGCAGTACTGCCTGCCTGAGAGTTTTTACCTGCCTTATCACCTCTAAATCCTGAGCATATTCTCCCTATCATGGAATGTATTTTATAAATTAGTGAAAATGCTTACCAAAGTGCTAGTTACACAACATTTATTTTTGAAATGTGCAACCATTGTAGCATTTTATTTAATTGCAACTGTCAATATTTTAAGTTGATATCGCTATCTTTTTGAGACATATTTGCCAGAGCAGCCCCAGCCTCAGATTATTTCAACTTTCAGGCCATTTTGTCTACACATTTAGTAATGAAGTTTGTACAACTATTACATGACTTATGGTTTTTTTTTTAAATCTTCAACCACTGTAGCTGTGAGTTCCTGCTCTGGGTACAGTGATAATCTAACAATAAAGTGACATCATTTATCACACCCATCTTTCAACAAACGACAATGTGGAGTCTCCCATTCAAGATATTTCTACACAAATCAGTGCAAACACATTCTTCACCACTGGTAAATCAACAACACAAAAATAATACATACTCACCCAGCTAATCCTTAGGTGTACACACCAACAGTGATAATGCATATCACATTTTTAAAAGATCACATTCATCCAGCAGGTAAATTCTAATTACTATAAGTCAGATAGCATCCAAACACATGGCTCCGTTAACATGTTTGCAGATAGCAAACAAATACATGGCTCCGATAACATGTTTGCAGATAGTAACCAAACACACGGCTCCGTTAACATGTTTGCAGACAGCAACCAAACACATGGCTCCATTAACATGTTTGCAGATAGCAACCAAACACATGGCTCATTAACATGTTTGCAGATAGCAACCAAACACACTGCTCCGTTAACATGTTTACAGACAAGTTAAAACTACAGAGTAAAACTACAAGCAGTACACACAGCGGCTAACTTGTTACGCTATTTGCATTAGTCTAATGGTCTGAAAGTTATAGGCTTCCTGGGAATCGTTGCTGGAGCTGTGGAGGTTGTGCTTCGTGCATCGTTTTTGACAGGTGGCTAGCTATTGTGCTGAGAGAGATTGAGCCATACACAGTAAAACCAAGTGCAATGAAGTGGATATTTTTTTTTCAACTTTAAACTTGTTGTAATCATTAACTCATAAAGTGCTTACTAAAAACTAGTGAGCTGGTGCCCATTTTTTTATGTTAAATAGATAATATCACTTTTCTGTGTGAACTGTACATCCGGCATCACTCTGCACAGCAAGGTATACATCTTGCCAGGTACGCTGGCAAATAACCATAAATTTACTTAACAATAGTGAGCCGGCAGATATTTTTATATGCTAATAGCTCCATATTGCATCAAAATTTAAGAAATACACATACAGCCCTAATTGCAATAGTTGCTAAGGGATTCGTTAAAAAAAAAATAGTTACTGTCATAAAATGCAAGTATTTAGTTACTTCAACCCGACCGTCTACTAGGACGCACAAAATCCATATTTTATAAGATTACTCTGATTACACTATAATTCGTCTATGGTTGTACCACTTAAATGTTAAAATCTCTGCTTAAGAGTTGACTTACAGAATTAATTTATGTATAGTTGGATTTGATATTATCATTTCTGTCTAGCTGTGGTGTTTCATAAATAAAAGCCCAAAACATAAAGACTTCGTTAGCATCCCAGTATTAACAGTATATTCCATTGTTTTGTTGTGATTTGTGTACTCTATTTTCTCCACAGAATCTATGACCAGATAACTCAACCGTAGCAAAGAGTATTTCAAGAGTATTTCACAAAAACCTATCACGGGAGGAAATCTGACTGACAGAAAGTCAAAACATCATCAGTATATCACAACAGATTATTAGGATAAGTTCAGTAAAGGACGACAGCGAACATACGCAGGCATGATTGATCACGAATATTACAGTCACTTCAATCACAGACAACACAATACAACTAGTCTGCCCAATATTTACCGCTATAACATTGACAAACGTCGTCTTTCCCGAATACTGAAGTCCTACGAGAGTTAATTCCATCTCTTCCTTCCAAAACAGGCTTTTAAACCAGTCTAGAATGCGTTGAAAGAACGAAAACATCTTGTGGTGGTGGGGCCGAGAGAAATGTTTGTTGCTCAACGTCTGTATCAGCAGGAAGGACTAACAGACAATCATGTGACCCGGGTCACAGGTCAAGGATGCTGGCTGGGTTTGTCTAAGTACACAATCAGGACAATATAATGACAGACAAAATTGTTAACAAAATGACACAAAGGAAGAAAGCACAAAACACTCCAGAATATTCATTAATAGACAAAGAAATACGAAATATGTGTAGAACTGCTAAGGAAACATGGATTCAGTTAAAATGCAAAGAAATAGAGGATCTTGAAAAAAAAAAACAGAACCAAGGAAATACATGCAAATATAAGAAAACTTACAAACAAGGAAAAACATTTAACAGGAAATGGTTGTATTAGGGGAACAGATGGAAAAATTATTGTTGATAAGAAAGATATAATAAAAAGATGGACTGAATACACTGAATATACTGTTTTGGGACAACAGAGGTGACAAACCGCCAATCCATAATATTCAAGAGGGACCAAACATATTAAAGTCTGAAGTAGAGAAAGCCATTAAACAGATGAAGCATGGAAAAGCTGCAGGTCCAGACAACATAACTGCAGAAATGTTAAAATCAGTATCTGCTTTTGGAATTGATACTATCACAGAAATATGCAATGACATTTATAACTATGGGTACATTCCCAGGGACATGAAAACATCTGTTTTTATCACACTACCCCTGAAATCAAAAGCTGTTGATTGTGAAGATTACAGAACTATTAGCCCAATGAGTCACGTAACTAAGTTACTCTTGAAGATAATACAAGCAAGAATTCAAGATAAAATAGAGAAAGAAGTTTCTGAAGAGCAATTTGGATTCCGTAAAAACAGTGGTACTCGAGAGGCCATAATTTGTCTTAAGATGCTGACTGAAAAATTTATAGAAGTTCAGAAAAATATTTATGCATGTTTTATAGATTACAAAAAAGCTTTAGACTGAGTACAACATGAACAACTAATTGCAGCTCTTCAAAACATAGGACTAGATGGAAAGGATATCAGACTTATTAGAAACATATACTGGGAGCAAGAAGCAACAGTAAGATATGACAACATTTGCTCACCCCAGATAGAGATCAAGAGAGAAGTAAGACAAGGATGTGTGCTGTCGCCTAGCGTTTTCAACTTATGTACAGAAACCATTTTTAAAGAAATTGCAGAATTACCAGATCTGCACATCAATGGTAGAATAATAAACAATCTGAGATATGCTGACGACACAGTGTTGCTAGCAGAGAGCGAGCAGGAGTTGCAAGACCTAGTGGAGCAAGTAAACAGAAGGAGTGCAGAATTTGGATTAGATATAAATTTGAAGAAGACAAAAACCATGATATTTAGCAAAGAAAATAATCAGCTAACAATGAATATCACAGTGAACGGGGTGAAATTGGAACAAGTTAAAAATTTCTTATATCTTGGACAAGTAATAACATGTGACGGCAGAAGTGAAACAGAAGGCAAGAAAAGAATAGGGATGGCCTAAAACATTTTCAACAACATGCAAAAGTTACTGACATCAAGAGAAATAAGCAATACATTAAAAATGAGAATTGTCAAATGTTATGTATTCTCAACCTTACTGTATGGCACAGAGACATGGACAATGTACAAACAGCTTGAAAATCGTATCAATTCTTTGGAGATGTGGATATACAGAAGATTAGGTCGTATTTCAAGGAAACAAAAGCTATCAAATACAGAGGTACTGAAGAAATTGGGAATGAAAAGAGAGTTGCTAGGTGAAATAAAAAAGAGACAAGTGAAATATTTTGGCCACATTAAAAGACATAACAGTATTGTAAAGATCATCCTAGAGGGAAAGGTTCAAGGTAGGCTAGCAAAAGGCAGACAGCGTTATAAGTGGAAGGATAACATCAAGAGATGGACGAACAGCAGTATGAGTGAGTGTACATAAAGGGCAAGAGACAGGGCTTGTTGGAGATCCATTGCAGCCAACCTTCATTGTGGAGACGGCACCTGATTGATTGATTGAATGACAGACAACCAAGTCATTACAGTCACAGTTTAGGGAACCTTGAGGATGGCAAGAGTTCTTGAAAACATTCTTTATGGTGAACTACAAATGGGTAGAAGATGAGAACGTCTGCCTCTATTGCTATGATATGAAAATGCGTGCAAGCGGGATATGACTGATACAGGTACTGAGGTAGATCCGCTGGAACAGGATTACATGGACATATTGTATGGAAAAGACCATCAGGAAATTATGGGAATAAAGAAGAAAATTATGCAGACACGTTAAAAGAAAAACGTCTGAGAAGAGCAGATAAAAAACACCAAATAGCAACAATGTTCTGACGTGTCGTGCTCCAACTTTGGAAGAGTCTTCTTAACGCAAGCGGGTCTTGATAGTCCACTTACCATCGCCATGGGTTGTGATTCCTAAGGCTTAGGCTTAGTATGTTAATACAAAACAGAAAATGTATCGATGGGCACTCATAGAAAGAAGTAGAAAGATAGAAGAACACATTTAAGGCTTAGTACACCACTTTCTCGGAAAACAGAAATGTACCAACAATAAAATCGTAACGCAAAAACATTATTAAAGTTTATTATAGCTGAGCTCATCTGAGTTTAAAGTACCGATATCACGGCTCTCTGGACATTCCCATAAACACTCCGTCCACATCTTCGGTAGCCAGCGAAGAGTTTCAACCCTTAGGTACCATCAGCAGTCTGACTGTATATCTTATTTCCCTTCCTCGGAGTGTGGAATGTCGACCAGATCCCCTGGTCACTCACCGTTGTTTCATTCTCTTCGGACCATGATGATCTAATTGCCCCCCCCCCCCCCCCCCAACTGATGACTTGCTTAAAAAAGGACTTTGAATGTTTAGCCGTGTGACGACGAATACCTTGATTTAGTTTCATTTGCAAATGCCAAGAAACCTGGCCGCTGTGTATAAAAAGGCAAAATCACCTAAAAACCGGTCTCATTTTGGCTTTTCGGACTGAACCTGCAGTCGCCCAGGACAGGAGACCCACCGAGCTGTTGTGGCTCCGCACATTAGGCTCAACAGCGTGGGTAAGCTTGATTGCGTCGGATGACCGGTTGCCTGGCTGATTTCATGGCGGTGGTATGTTTCCATGGTTAAATCTGAATTTGTCTCTAATAGTTAAACTGTATGATTAGATATATCAGTGTGTAACCTCACTCGGAAATAGTCTATTGCAGGCTGCAATATGCGATTTTCTGGTCTGCTGACAGATTGAAGCTTAACGTACATGTTAGTATGTTTCAGTTGTTGCCATTGTTGAGGTAATTTTCTGAACGTCTGCGTTCATTATCATAATTCCTTGTTGGCAGAGAGTGAAACACGGTCTGATCGAGTACGTGGATGATTGTGAATATTTTGTTATTTGTGAACAGCGCTTAGTTTTGTGTTGAGTTCAGTAAAATAAACAGCTGTTTAATGTGATGATTATAATTCAGTTGCTTGATTCAATTTAAGGTCTGTAGTCCGTGCACGCGGTTTGTCTGGGTGTGTGCGGCCATCTTGTGTGTTAGTGTGTGTAACATAGAGTTGCTCAGATATCCCTTGTCTGGGTCTTGATGGAATATTCTAGGACCCCTGCAGAGAAAAACTCCTTTTCTTTAATTTTCCATTTTTGCTGTTCAGAGGGGAACTATTACTTTTTGTCCTAATCACAATTTTTCTTAGCCGCCTAGCTTCCGTGTTTGTTTGTTTTTTCCTTTTTTCTTTCTTTCCGCTAGTACATTGACAATAATTTTGCCATGCATCAATTTACCACCGACTTCAGTAGAACCAGCCGGTCTGTCTGCTGTTCGTTTCCTAACACATCTGAATTCCCAAAGATAACATCCATAGGATATCTTTAAAGTTCATCACAGGGCAACAAATAATATACAGGCAGCCCCACAAACACTTGGAGTCACCAAATGGACAGACAGGGCCAATCACGGGGATAAACATCATCATCATCAGGTACCTTGCCTACTTGCCATGCCTGTTCACAATCTGCGATCTCATGCAGTATGTATCAGTGCGTGTGCTGACACACCTCCATGCCATGTAACATGACTGTCAAGAATCTTCTCTGGTTGTCTTGATATAAACATAGGCCAGCCATATATGCAGTAATGAACCTCAGGGACTAGGAATCGTTACGGAGTGGGGGGGGGGGGTGACAACAACAATATACTGATCCGAGTAAATTAAAACGATGCTTGCCAATAACTTTCTGGGCAAGATGTGGCTATTATTTTCAAATTGCCAACAAAAGTATTGTGACACTCGATGTAATGGAGCTGTTCATAGTTTATGTTGTCTTTCATCGACTGCACTGACAGTAATTTCTGGGAACACCATCTCCTCTCCCCACAAAGGTTACTGCGTGTAAGCGTGCAGGCACAACATTATGTTTGTGTGATTGAACAGGATGGCTGGAATTGGTTCCTGTCAGAATGATATCCACGTGGTGGATACCAAGGCATGGAAAAGGTCCTTTGCTTTGCTTTACCTAATTTGGGCGTTGAAACGCTGATAAATAAATGAACTTGGATTCATCGACAATGGATGTAGATGGGACAAGTCAAGACTAGAGAACGATTAAAGAAGATCAAAACTGAAAGCGTTAGTGAGACTTTGTTGGTTAACTCTATGTGTACTATATACTAAAATATATAAGTTTAGTAAGGTTAACTTGAATCCTTGGTAGACACACTGGCCTGGCGTTCTAATGGTCGTGGTGGTTAATAAAAACAGAGGTACGGGTTCAGTCCCTGGCAGCGACAGTTCTTACTTCCTTCTAGTAGATTGGCACGACCCATGGCCTTCTCTATTTATAGAGATTTATAATCTAGAGAAGGCGGTGCACGACCTTATGACCTCTTAAAATCGCTGTTGCTTTACCTTATTACACTGTACCTGACATACGCAAAAAAAAACTGCATTTTATAAAATGAAGAATATCCTTGTCATTGAGAGTTAGAAAAATAATTCTTGCTTGCTACATACATCCAGTTTTAACATATGGATGTGAGTCCTGGACAATCGATAGGCAGGCCAAACAATTTCTTAAGGCCTCAGAGATTTGGCTTTACAGAAGAATGCTTAGAATACCTTGGACAGCCCCCTCCGCCCCCCCCCCCCCCCCCCCCCCCCCCCCGAAAAGAGATTTTAAAAGAGGCGGGAGCCCGAAGACAACTTATCACAGACATCAGAAGGAGACAGTCATCATTTTTCGGTCATGTTATGAGAAGAGGGCAAATAGAACATGTTGTGACCACTGGAAAAATCTGCGGAAGGAGAGATAGAGAGAAGATTCTGGATAGTCTTGTCGCATGGCATGGAGGTGGGCACACGAACTGATATATGCTTCAGGAGATCGCAGATTGTGGATAGGCATGGTCGCCCACACCAGTCGGCATGGCACCTGGTGATGTCGGACGATAATCAAACTAATTGGCAGGACATCAGGAGCGTCTTTTGTCAGAAATGAATTGTCGCAAGCTAGTCTGTTTTAGGCACGTGGTGAGACATGATTCGACTGCAAAGACTGTACAATGAATATTGGGTGATACTTGAAGAAAAGAAAAGAAGGGATAGGGATTGACAGGGGGGGGGGGGAGGCAAAGAAAAATCCGAAATATTTAGAAATGAACAGAACTAAATTATTATTCATTTCTCCAATAAGCGGAAGACAGAGAAAGATGGCGGGTTTTAGGTGCTAATGCTTCCGTCGATACACCTCAACGACCCAAGCGGGTAAAGGGTTATGTATGTATCTGTGTGTATGTTATCAAACTCGTTTTAAATAGCACCCCCTTCCTACACCACTGCAGCCACCTGTATGTCAGTGGACCCTTTGATAGAAGGCAGGGAAAAGAGGTTTTTCTCTCACTCCACCCCTCTAGATTTCTCTCGCCTGCGGATTCGTAACTCCCCTCCCCTGGGTTTTCAAGTCCTAGCAGAGCCAGACTTTTTTTTCCCTCTTTCACTCTCTCAATGACTTTCCTCATGGCCCCCTCCCCTCCAGGATCGACCCTCTCCTTAAAATGGCACCAGGTACAAATAATTGGATCAAGTAAAGGTGATATTGACCGTATCCTCCACCGAGTGCCGATTGGCCGGTAAAATAAATGCCTAACCCTACATGCCCAGTACGTCTGAATGCCTGGGAAACGGTCCTTCGACGTGAGTAGCTAGCTGTTCATTCTATATTTCTTGTTTTTTTTTTTTTGTTATTTCCTATGTTATCATATTTTAATTCTTCCACAATGTTTTGTCTATTTACATGTGTTCTACTGTTTTTCTATACTTGTTTGTTTGTTAATATAGCACCTCCATTGACAGTTTTCGTCTGTACTGTTGTTTGTATATAAACATTATGTGGCATGCCGTTGAGATTTGAAAGCCACTGTTGGCATCCCATACGATCCAGTCAGTCGTAGATAGGGCCTCGTATGGCTAACCCGTCCGCGTACTAATCTATATAGCTTCATTTTGCTCTCTACCGCCAAATGTGTCGGATGTCACTAAGTTTTCAAGTCTATTTGCCATAATGTCATGTTTCACACACCACTCATTCACTGATCAGACAGAAATGTGATCTTTAGGGAAGAAACGTCAGTTGAGTGATGAGTTTGTGTATTCTTGTGCGTCTTTGTGGTGATGTAGATTTATGTAATGTGATTTTTCAAGGCTCTCTAGCTGCAAAGTTGACTTGCAGGTTGTGTTGGTGATATTGTGAAGCTGACTGGTTATACTTTTTGTTTGATCTGATAACCTTTCATTCACTGAATGTGACACGTTTGGGCTTTTTTGGATATCCAGGTGCATCGACGGTCACTTAAACCCTGAAGAGATATTACTTCTGCTGTAGTGAGGCTGATGTAGAAAGTTTCTGACTCCATACCAAAGCGTCCTGTCCGTGGGAATTGTCTGGCAAAGCTCACCTTTCCCTCTTCAAGCACAGAAACTACCATGGTTTGCAAGGGTGTTACCTGAACAACAAATTTGCTCAGAGATCTGTTAAAATGGAACTAATGCATTGTTTATGTTGCAGGGTGCCAAAAAGCTGTTGATTAGTTTAGTTAGGCTGAAGCGAACCAAAAGTCTAGCAAGTCGTTTAGATATGAATTTTTTTCTGCAGTAGTTCGATTGTGTGTTAGACCTAGATTATACTCGCTCGGAGATAGTTCGATTGCCTGTCGCTGGAGGCGATTTACATAACTGGTGGTATGTTGAAGCTTAAACGGACATGTTAATATTTTTCGATTTGTGCCATCACTGATGTAATTTTTCTGAATGTACGCGTTCATTAGCCTATTTCCTTCTAGTTAGTAACACATTGTCTGGTCGAGCACTTTAATGATTGTTAATGTAGTGTTATCTGTGAAGTAACGTTAGTTTTGTGTTCAGGAAAATAAACATATGTTCAATGTGATGATTATAATTCAGTTGCTTGATTCAAGATATAACTTATAGTTCGTGCACGTGGTCTGGCTAGGCATTGCCTATTTATTAATGTAATAATGTGTGGGGCTAATTTGATCAAGAAAAACTCGAAGAAGACAAATGTGTCGGTCGTAAAGTTCAAATAACGCAGCTTTGCTGTAATATGCATAAAAAAGTAAGTGTACACACACACACACACACACACACACATATATATGTGTGTGTGTGTGTGTGTGTGTGTGTGTGTGTGTGTGTGTGTGTAAAACGAAGACAATGAGGAAGATTCCTGGCAAATGTCTACAGAAGCCTACTAAGTCAGGACTCAAATATTAGCAGCTTCCAAAACCTCCCGACGTCCAACGGAGAACATACGAAAACAAATGTTCCCTCTTGTATGTCGTACATTGTTTATTTAGATTTAGTTAGGACATTTTTTTTTTTTCTTAGGAGAGCCTTTTCCTTCCCTGTATGACTTTTCTTATCTTGCTTCTCTGTGAAACATTTCTCTCGTATTGTTCGTGTGCAATTTATCGATGAGTTGTGCCTATGCGATTTGACGCTGCCTTCATGTGTCCTCCAACCTGCACTGTTGCGATGGTAATCATTCTAAAGCTATGTAGGCTGGTTAAAATAACAGTAATATTTACACAGTATTATGTCTGTAAATAGAGGTTTATGTTTGAAAGCAAACTTTTCAATTATACACCAAACTGCTACTTTTTTGTTGAGACGCTACAGTAGAACAGAAGCCAAGTAGGCAGTAATTCATGTTCTGGGACAGCCAGGCGGACAGTAAAGATTATTACAGTTAAATATGTACAGACAATTCCTGTGTTTGTTTTCCTCCTCAAATTTCCACGTAATTCTTTACATAACTTTAGCCAACATGCAAAATAAAATTATGTGTGTATGACGTTTTGACAAGTGGAGTGGGGGTGAACCTAAAATCATGGCGGACAAATCGACAACCCCCGTCGTTAGAACAAAGATGTACTTCGTTGTTGTTGTTATTCTTGTTGTGATGTTGTTCCAGAAAAAAGATGCAAAACACAGACTACATTTTGACACATTTAGTATCAAATTAGATTTTACAAATCTCAGAACTATGATTAGATTTACATAACAAAAACACAAACATACAGACTGCCGATCAGAAGAGAAATGAAAGTATGTCAACAAGACACAGTTGAGACGCCCCAATATTATACAATAAACCTTGATTTTTTAAGACGCATAGTTAAAAACAACAAATTACATAGTTAAAAACAATAAAAAAATTGTAGGAAAAATATTTTTTTCGCCTCCAAACTGTGTTTTATCTATAGATTTAAGATATTTTGTGTCTTAACTGAGACAAAATGCTGCTAGCCAGGGACGAAAGTGTGCGAAGGGTACTTAGAAAACCGAAGTTTTTTGTATAAAATTTGTAATAGCTGCAAGAAAACACTCCTCATAAGCAATGATTATTATGTTTTATATTTATTAAAGTGAAAAGCAGCACATAGAAAGATCTAGTATTCTTTTCATCTTAGTTTCAAATATGTCATACTATCATTGATGCAAAGTGGTATGCTCGCAAATATTTAAATTTTTAATAGCATATACTGAAAACAGAAATACTTTTTACAGAAAATAGATGTTGATCATGTCTTAGATAAAGAGCACCACGTGCGATGTTTGTTTTAATTAAAAACAAATAGATTTTGTGAATTTAAAACAATGATGTCGCACAGATTTACCACGAGAGCCCCGCTAGCGGACGGTTCCAGAGAACACACGGGCCTGCTGACGTCAGTGCTCTCTTGTACATCCGCGCACAGGGAACATATTCCCTGGCGCCCGGTGGCATAATCACTTGTGCTCGCACAGTTACACACTGACGTTCTCTGTTCGCTCCCGGAATAATTCTGCTACTAATACCATGTCTGACGCCGCTACTGCCGCCGCACCCGCTGCCTCTGCACCAGCCAAGGCCACCAAAAAGAAGCCTGCAGCCAGCAAACCTAAGGCCCCGTCTGCTCACCCACAGTACAAGGTGATGATCGCTGCCGCCATCAATGCTTTGAAAGAGCGAGGTGGATCTTCCCGCCAGGCCATCCTCAAGTACATCATCGCCAACTACAAGGTGGGAAACAACCCCACGGCCATCAATGCGCGTCTCAAGGCCGCTTTGAAGGCTGGAGTTAAGGCCGGCAACTTGAAACAATCCAAGGGAACCGGCGCAGCTGGTTCATTCAGGCTCGGCGAGAAATCTGAGAAAAAGCCCGCAGCCAAGAAGGTAGCTAAAGCCAAATCTCCAAAGAAGGTTGCCAAGCCCAAGAAAGCCGGAGAAGCAAAGAAACCCAAAGCCGCCAAGAAGACCGCCAAGAAAGCCGCAGCTGCAAAGAAACCCAAGTCCCCTAAGAAGACAGCCGCCGCCAAGCCCAAGAAACCCAAGACTCCAAAGAAGGCAGCAGCAGTGAAGCCTAAAGCTGCCAAACCCAAAGTTGCCAAGAAGCCTGCAGCAGCCAAGAAGGTAAAGACCCCGAAGAAGGCAGCAGCCAAGTGAATACCTGACACCACTGCAACATCAATAACAGGTCCTTTTTAGGACCGCCCCAGTATTTCAAGAGGATGCTCACCTGCTGAAATATAACCAATTGTCTTTTCTACAGTTCTTTCTCGGGCGTCATACGTAATTACGATCTATCTTCATAGGCCTTCTGTGTTGGGATTTCGGCTTTGATTTTTGAGTTGTTCTTCCATTGTCCAGTATTAACAATGGGATGTAAAACTGGTTCGGTTTACAACATCTGTCGCATATTATGACGTCCAACATATACCTGTCTTGTTGTTCTTCATTTGTAAAAAAAAAAAGTAAGTAAAGGACCCTGTTCCACGCCTTCAGGCATATAGGGCTAGACCTATATTTTTATAGGCACAAGATGGGTGATGTGGTTAGCTTCACGCTGACCGCCTTTACTTCCCGGGACTGAAACCGGTACCCACTCAAGGCTGGGAGCCAAGGTCATTTTTTTTAAAAAGTCCGGCTAAGCCAGGGAGCGAACCCACGGCCTACTGATGGCGACTCTCCGCTGTTCTTCATTGGTTTGTTGCGTATCCTTTACAGGACGTTGTAGAACCAACATCAACAGCCCCTGGCTGTTGTGTGGTTTTCAAGGAAAATTTACGTCTAGTAGTTTGCCATTGCTTTCTGGGCGGTCGGCTTTCTTGACAACACTGTCGAAACCAACGCAAGGCGCATGGCCCGCAGCTGGGATCGAACCCGGCATTACGAAGCGTTCGCATCGACTTAGCCACAGAGCCGACTGTTCTTCATTACTGATGCATAAAATCTAATTCTGTGACAAGATAATTAGCGTCTACTCCCCACTTTTATAGATGAATTTCATATTGTCATTACTTATGTCATCCAGTTCAATCTTGGGGTTAATTTTTTTTTTTTTTTTTTTTTTTCGATTCTACAAAACTATCCACTGATTCCTAGTCCACAAAAAGACAAGCATCTATCTTAATTGGTTAATTTCGACATTTTCTGTGTCTATAGAATCTTTGTAGCAAAACTTGGGCCTTATAATGTGTGCTGCTTATACTTTCTGCTCTTTAAGATTTCTCCAACCCGTTCAGTAACTTGAAATCTGTCTCAAATATTTTTTTTTTTTTCTGGTCTAGGTTTTCATAACATCTTGTTAAAAGTAGGGCTGTCCCGAATATTCGCTTCGGGGCCGAATAGTAGACATAATAACTATTCAGTATTCGGCCGAATAGTTGCGGTCGGGCCGAATACGAATAGTGGTTACCTTACACCCGTTTCTGGACTGGTGGGAAATGAACATATCAAGATTTCCCACCTTAGTTCATTCTGTCAAGCGTTACTTTGTGCACCAACTACGAGCGTACCAAGTGAACGTCTGTTTTGCACAGCTGGAAATACCTTCAGTGAGACAAGAAGATGCCCTAATGCTGACAACATGAAACGATTGTGTGTGTGTTTTTTCTCTCTTTAAAGCTAATGTTTTCTTGCTTGCTACATACATCCAGTTTTAACATATGGCTGTGAGTCCTGGACATTCGGTAGGCAGACCAAACAATTTCTTGAGGACTCATAGATGTGGTTTTACAGAACTATGCTTGAAATACCTTGGACAACCAGAATAAAGCAACCAAGAGGTTTTTAAATAGGCGGGAGCCCGAAGACAACTACTCACAGACATCATTTTTCGGCCATGTTATAAAATGAGGGAAAATGGAACATGAGAAGATTCTTGATAGTCTTGTTGCATGGCATGGAGGTGTGTCAGCACACGAACTAATTCATGCTGCGGGAGATCCCAGATTGTGGCAAGGCATAATTGCCAATGCCAGTCAGCAAAGCACCTGATGATGATGATTCACTATTCGTATTCGGCCGAATAGTTGGTCCAGCTATTCGTATTCGGCCGAATAGTGAAAATCACTATTCGGTACAGCCCTAGTTAAAAGTAACCCAATATAACAGACTGCTTCAAGGTATTAAAGTTAATTTAATACTAATTTTTTGGTTTAATTACGCACCCTGACAGATTGTTCCAGTGACATTCGCAACCCGGCCTTCAGTTGGTACCAGTGAAGTTTACGTCCTAGGAAGTAAAGGCGACCGGCGTGATGTTGACCACATCGCCTATCTAGCGCCAGTTGACGCGTAAAGCTATGGGTCTTGCTCCATATGCTTATAAACCAACGGTGTCAGTAACAGGGCAGCCGACACAAAGAAAACTAAGGGGGTATTCAGAGCTTCCCCAACACACAATGGAGGGGGGGGGGGGGGGGGGGAGGGTCTTTTAGTCACAATAGAAGATTTAAAAATTCTACCTGTACGAACTTCCCAGATCTCTTCGTCCAGGAGTCCTATCTTGTCTGAACATCAGTCAGATGCCGTCTCCACAAAGAAGGTTGGTTGCAATGGATTTCCAACATTCTCTTGTCCTGACAGTACTCTTGACTGCTGCTCGCTCATCTCTTAATGTCCTCCCATTTGTATCGCTGTCTATCTCTTGCAGTGGAATTTTCCCTCCAGTATGGTTTTTACTACGGCCGAAATATTTCAGTTGTCTTTTACGTCTTTCGTCAACTCACTTTTTACTCCTAGTCTTTACAGAACCCGTGATTTGATAGTTTTTCTTGTGACGTAATTTTATTTATGCAATAAGTTTCTATTTGGTGCGTTCACGTGCAGCGGGATTTACCATAGCATAGCATTCACCCTCCCCCAATCACTTCTACCCCTCCCCCCCCCACCTCTTTCTCTAGCGCAGTTGTCTCCAACCCTTTCCCAACATAAAACGTGATTAATTAAAACACAGGTCAATAGATTCTGCAAACAAGAGAAACAGATGAATGGAGATGGTTTTATTCAGAATGTGTTACTGGATATTTACACAAAGATATACAAACTGCTTGTCGGCTCTGTGGCTAAGTCGATGCGAACGCTTCGTAATGAAGGGTTCGATCCCAGCTGCGGGCCATGGGCCTTGCGTTGGTTTCAACAGTGGTATCAAGAAAGCTGACCGTTCAAGAAGCAATGGCAAACTACTAGACGTAAAGTTGCCTAGAAAAACCACCCAACAGCTAGGGGCTGTTGGGGTAGGTTCTGCAACGCCCTGTAAAGGATACGCAACTAACCATATACAAACTGCTTATGAAAACAAACAAGAAAAGTTTCCTCTGCTTGTTGTTTTATAATTAATTTTAAAAAAAAATATTTATAATTAAACAGAAAAAAAAAATACAACGGATTGATACAAATGCAGTCAATTTCAAAATTGCTTGACCCCCTCACCTCCTCTTTTCCATAAAGTTATCTATGTACCTGGATGAATTTCTTTACTTGACTCAGTTGACTTTAACAGCACTTTCAAGCAAGATCTGTTTCTTTGGTTTTGCTTTATTTATGTCTTATTATTTCGAGGCCTATGTTTACAACTGCTGTGTGTAACTCACTGTAACGACAAATGTTTAAAAGAAACGAATGTGGACCCATCTATAATAAAGTTTGTCTAACACATGCGAGACAAAAAATATGATACCATGAACAGACAGACAAATGAGAAAAACTAAAGCTGTCAAATGATTACTGAATTAAGCTGCAGTCAAGATACTTTAGACTTGAAGAGGAAGAAAAACTTAAACTTCTTATTCTTAATATTCATTGACTATAAACTCTCGTGGAATGTTCTGGATATTCTAGTCTTGTTCTAGAACCTACGTATTGCATGCATCCATTTCACAGATCTGGCTTACGTGTATGCAGACTTGGTTTCTTGCCTCTCGGGCAGACGTACTCCGCCTTTGAAGGATGACAACAATTAGTTGATTCCTACGACATGCTTGTTCGAGAGAGAGAGTGAGTTGATGTTTGCTTGCCCCAAAATGGGGCCCTGGAATCCATATGGGGAAAACTTGAAACAAGATGACAGACACTAAATATCATACGATAAAAGATGAAAAGGTCATACCAGTTTAATTGTGTTTATATTTGTATACATTTCAACTACATACATGTTTTCACGCATACACACACACAGCACTGTCACTTAAAATATTAGATAAAAACGCTTCTAACATAGAATTCAAATGTTGCAGTTGCTTGTGTGAATTCTGAGGCGGGGGGGGGCGCAAGAATGGAACCACTTCCCCTCTAACAAGCATGCCGTTAAACAAGAATTGAGTGTAACCTTTACAGGATGTCGCAGAACCAACCCAAGAATTATTTGGTAACTTTAGGTTTTACTAGGCAGTTGTACGGTTGGTAGTCTGCCATTTCTTTCCCAACAGCCAGTTTTTGATACCATTGTCAAAATCAACGCAAGGTGGTCTGCTGTCTAATGCCTGCAGTTTAAACTAAACAAGTCACCTAGGAATGACAAAGCCTGTTGACAACACCTGAGCCACAGATGCCCATGTGTTGTCACACATTAATTAGGGTTTTGGGGAAATCAGATTTGTTGGGCTGAAAGGTGTAGATATTGCAGGCTTGCTGTAAACCACAACATAGAGTGGCAGTCGCCCTTCTAAGGGCAAATACAGAAGAACAAGGAATGCTGCATTGTAGTTAAACAACCCTGTTCAACCCATCTAGATTATGTTCGGAATATATAATTTATCCATAAATATTCTACTAAAGAAGACTGCTTATTAAAAACAAATCTTTTTTTGTGTCAATCGGCTGTAAACTCTGACGGAAAGTTCTGGGTGTTCGTCCAACTTTGGACTTTAGTCTTGTTCCATAACCTGAATGTTGCATGCAAATATGTTTTATAGATCTGACTTTTGTGTATGCAGAGTGTTGGTTCCTCGCCTCTCAGGCAGATGCACTCTGATTTCATGAAGGCTGTAGCAATTTATCCTATAGGAAGGGAAGATAATGTTAATGATTTCAAAACAAGGTATATGATCTACACATGAGAGAAATTGGCCAGGACATCGGGCTTATCCCTAACAACTGAGCAACAAAGAAACACAAACATGGAGACATGTTATAATCCCTAACAACTGAGCAACAGAGAAACACAAACATGGAGACATGTTATAATCCCTAACAACTGAGCAACAGAGAAACACAAACATGGAGACATGTTATGTTCCCACAAACATAACATGTTATAATCCCTAACAACTGAGCAACAGAGAAACACAAACATGGAGACATGTTATAATCCCTAACAACTGAGCAACAAAGAAACACAAACATGGAGACATGTTATAATCCCTAACAACTGAGCAACAGAGAAACACAAACATGGAGACATGTTATAATCCTTAACAACTGAGCAACAAAGAAACACAAACATGGAGACATGTTTTAATTCCTAACAACTGAGCAACAAAGAAACACAAACATGGAGACATGTGATAATCTTCAACAACTTAGCAACATAGAAACACAACCACGGAGACATGTTATAATCCTTAACAACTGAGCAATAAAGAAACACAAACATGGAGACATGTTATAATCCCTAGCAACTGAGCAACACAAACATGGAGACATGTGATAATCCATAGCAACTGAGCAACAGAGAAACACAAACATGACATGCACATCAATGCTGGAAACTGTGATTATGCATAATCTTGGGAAGAAATATTCTCAACTTTCTCTGGCAGTAACATATATATATTCTCTCTCTCAACCTTTTGTATTTGTAACATTCGCTCATGCTGATATAACTATAATTCTTGCTGATGTAACATTCATTCTTGCTGATGTAACATTCATTCTTGCTAATATAAGTATGCATTTAAAAAAATGTCAAACAATATTCTAAACAAATACCCAAGAAGCAACAATTTACACACATTTTAAAAATCTTAACACATTTTCAGGAGCAAGATTCATGCCTTTCCTACCATTATAGATGGTACAGGAAGTTGCAGTCACGTAGTCGCTAATGCTCACCTGCCAGGGGTAAATATTCTGACAAAATTGTCAGGTGAGAGGAAAAAAAGTTTGTACTATGGCCCTTTAAGATGATGATGATACCTGCATTAGCTCTGAACCATGATACACATCTCTGTAGATGGACAAACCTGAAGAATGCTTTCAGCGTTCTAGGTGTAAGACAGTACAGATGACCAAGTAATTTGAAGCTGGTAGTTCAGTATAGATGACCAAGTAATTTGAAGCTGGTAGTTTAGTATAGATGACCAAGTAATTTGAAGCTGGTAGTTCAGTATAGACCAAGTAATTTGAAGCTAGTAGTTCAGTATAGATGACCAAGTAATTTGAAGCTGGTAGTTCCAGTATAGATGACCAAGTAATTTGAAGCTGGTAGTTCAGTATAGATGACCAAGTAATTTGAAGCTGGTAGTTCAGTATAGATGACCAAGTAATTTGAAGCTGGTAGTTCAGTATAGATGACCAAGTAATTTGAAGCTGGTAGTTCAGTATAGATGACCAAGTAATTTGAAGCTGGTAGTTCAGTATAGATGACCAAGTAATTTGAAGCTGGTAGTTCAGTATAGATGACCAAGTAATTTGAAGCTGGTAGTTCAGTATAGATGACCAAGTAATTTGAAGCTGGTAGTTCAGTATAGATGACCAAGTAATTTGAAGCTGGTAGTTCAGTATAGATGACCAAGTAATTTGAAGCTGGTAGTTCAGTATAGATGACCAAGTAATTTGAAGCTGGTAGTTCAGTATAGATGACCAAGTAATTTGAAGCTGGTAGTTCAGTATAGATGACCAAGTAATCTGCAGTGGCCAGTTCTTAGGGAAAAGCTGGTAGTTTGCTTCTGCCATGTCAGACATTGGAGGGAGTCCTGCTTGTTGTCTGTGTACATACTTCTCTTCTAATGACAAGTGAATTCACAGCAAATAATGGTTTATATTCTTATTAACAGGGCTTTATTCCTTTTAAAAAAAAAAAAGGTGCCGGTACCCCCACATTGTGTATAAAAAAAATTTTTAAAGTGATGGTACTTCATCACAAAGTGTCTATCAAAGTCGCACTGACAAAATGGTGGCTATAAAAGATGTAGATACTGTGTACTGCGAGAAACAAATCTCTGCTTACTATGACATTTGATACCATATCTAGAAAAGGTGTCAGCTCTCCCCTTTGCCGGGGATTCCCAGGGGGAAGGTGGCCAGTGGCAGATATTTAAGGATCTGTGGACGCTGTTAAACTTCATCCAGACCCATAACCTGGTCACTATCTTTGAAAGATGCCCTGAAGAAGGGCAAACTCCTCACCTGATATCTGAGTTTAGCAAGGTGGCTGCCAGAAAGGACACTCCAGTATGAGCCATCCCACTGTGGTATACCAGGAAACAATGTGACGATAAACTTCCTAAGAAAGGCGCAGAATGCGAACAGGAAGACAATGAAGTAATACACTTTTGGAAGAAACTGGCCATCCACACTGTCAGAAGTAAACAGAAACTGGCTAGAGTTGACTGCCACTTACTTGACCGGCATGGACGGGTCATTATTCTACGCCTCCGGACAGTGCATAGCATATACACACGCTTTGTTTAAGTAGTTCACCACTGTGCCCTTATGGGCTGTGAGTACAAACTGCAGATCATGTCCTGCAAGAATATCTCTTGTACAGCCCATTAAGAAGGAAATACTGGCTCATTGAGTCAACACTGTACTCAAAGTTGCATGTAACTAAAAGGGAACTTCTAAAAAGTCATAAGAATTTGTCCATCAGTGTCAAAGAGAAAACAACCTGGAGACTAGAGGTTTTTTGGAGACAGTATAGATGTCTTGTGTCAGTCTGACCAGACAGGCCTTGTATATCAATCAATCATATGTCATCAATCAGTCCAGTGTGAGTCTGACCATACAGCCCTTATTTGTCTATCACTCTGGTGTGAGTCTGACCATGCAGCAGTTGTATGTCAATCAATCATATGTCAATCAGTCCGGTGTGAGTTTGACCATAAAGCCATTGTATGTCAATAAATTAATCAGTCTGATATCAGTCTTACCATACAGAACTAGCATGTTAATTAATCATTCAGGTTTAAGACTGACCATTCCAGCCCTTGTATGTCGATCAATCGATCAATCAGTCCGGTGTAAGTCTGACCATACCAGCCCTTGTATGTCGATCAATCAATCAATCAGTCCTGTGTAAGTCTGACCATACCAGCCCTTTTATGTCGATCAATCAATCAATCAGTCCGGTGTAAGTCTGACCATACCAGCCCTTGTATGTCGATCAATCAATCAATCAGTTGGGTTAAAGTCTGACGATACCTGTCTGTGTATGTCAGTCAATCAATCAGATGCTATCTCCACAATGTAGACTGGCTGTAACACATATCCAGCTTACTCTGTCTCTTGTCTTGATTGTACACTCTCTCAGACTGCTGTCTGCCTATCTCTTGATCCTGTCCTCCTTCTTGTATCATTGTCTACCTCATGCCCTCTTACCTTCAACATTTTACTTCAGTTCCATATTTAAAAGAGTAACATGTCTTTAAATCTGGCTGAAATATTTCAAATTTTTTTTTTTAAATAATTTCTTGCCACACGTCTTTTTATTTCTAGTCCCTTCTGAACCTTTGTAGTTGATTATTTTTAGTTTCTATGTCATTAAGTTAGGACAAATACAGGATTACCGCCATATTTCTAATACAATTTAATAACATCTAAATTGGAACATACACGATATCAACATGTATGAACATGTCTCTGAACCATATACTAATAGTTTAAAAAGTCTAGCATGTTGACCCTAAAATTGATGAAACATTAGTACTCTCCAAAGTTTATATGCCCTGTTGTTCGAGCATGTTCGGTAGCTTCTCTCTCTCCTCGTAAAGGCTGCTGGCAAGCCAAGCACCTCAATGAAAACCCCGCCACATCTGTGAACTGACGAATTGATTTTGCTTCAGATGCTAATTCAAGAGCCAATGCCATGATCACAGCATTATGAATTGAGAATTTTGTTCTTAACTGGCCAGAATGGTCAATTGATTCATAAACCAGTGGATCATAATGAATGCCATCATAAATCAGAAATACTCTTTCTTTGTAGCTCTTGTCCTCACCAAACCGATCAACACGTCCACTCTGTGTGTCTACAATCGCAATCTCTGTGCTAAAAAACTGCGATAAAATAGCTAGCTCGATTCCTCCACCCCAAGAATTCTTGTCTCTGATCCACTTACAGTAAGCGCCATTTGGTTTTCCTAAGATTGCTTCCGAATATGTCACAGGATCAGAAGAAACAATGCCCGCAATAACTTCTCTTAAATGGGAGGCAGCTTCTAAGTCAAACATGCCCTCATTCATCACAAGATTCACGCTGGTGAAAAGGCACGAGTTATCGGCCGGCACAACTTTCCGAGTGAGAATTCCTGTAGCTCCTTTCTCCAGCTGATGATGCAGCATGGTGTCCAGGCGATCGTCGGCTTCTGCTGCTGATTCTGGACCAACTGAGCTAGATGGGCTGCTAATCGCATCCACATTATGTATAGATTCATCTTCCTCAACAATAATTGTGTCTCCTGAGCGAAAGAAAGAGGACAATTCTGCAATTTCATTACTAATGTCGATAATTTTTGGTGGAAAACCTTGTCGAATTTTTATTCGATGCTTGGGTATATTTGCAGAGTCGGCAATGACCTCTTTTAATCTGCCAATGGTTGAAGCCAGGAATAAACCTTCCAACAACTTGTGACCACTTTTGGTTTGCATGCGCAGGCGAAGCTGCTGTTCCGACATTTGTCCTAGTTCCTGGCCACCTGTTAATAGAAAAACATAAACTGGATAAGCAATCTAAATAATGAAATATTAAAAATTAAGAAAGGCATTACTGTTTTTGGGGAGTCGCCGTGGTGTTGGCGGCTAGATACCCGCCTGCGGATCAGAAAACTGTGGGTTCGGGTTTTGACAGAGCCAGATTTTTTTTAAACTGACCTTGACTCCCAGATCGACCTAGTAGCCTTGAGTGGGTACCAGGTGTTGTACTGGGAAGTAAAGGTGGCTGGCGTGATGCTGACTACATCACTCACAAAGTGCCTATGGTCTATAAAAGTACAAGTCCAGCCCTATATGCCCAATATGTCTAAAGGCGTGGGAAAAGGGCCTTTCACTTTTACTTACTTTATTACTGTTATTGTATGTCATTTTCAAACATAGGCACCAAAACCTGGGGTTTCAGAAATCTTCAGCCCAAATTCTGTCTCAGAACACATTTTTTTTAAAGTGCGTAGGAAGGGGGCTGAGTATCCAACCCCTACAGAATCTGCCATGGGTTAGTTAACACCCCCCCCCCCCCCCCCCAACCATGTATGTATATTCTCTTTTTTAGTATTTCTTTATACATTTCATATCATTTCAAATATTATATTTATTTGAATTATTATAGCACATTTAAACAATGCTTGAGTCTTTCCTTGAGAAACACGATTAATTTTAAAAGAAATTATGCCTAAGTTGTAATTTTGCTGATAATAGTAAACTTTAGTTCATGAATATATAAGGGCAAAACAAGCACCAGATATACAGTACATGTGGAAACAAAATTAGACAGATTAAAACATGAGAGACACAGATGTGACATTAAACACACACCTAAACTGAAACAAAATAACAGAGAGGAATGGTGAGGAAACAAAGAACCTGAGAAAAGATAACTATGTCAGGCCTCTTGGATGGTGCAAACCTGAATAAAGATAACTATATCAGGTCTCTCAGATGGTGTAAACTAGCTGGAGTGGCAGACAATTACTTATGGAAAATGTTGGTATGTGAAGGCATTACAAAAGCTAGGCCTCAGCCTATAGATGTTATAATGGTGTCCCTGGTTTCATGTTCAATTATGCTAATTATTTAAAAAATAAACTGTATCATCATCATCATCAAAAACCACTTCAGCCATTAAGTATCGTGGAGAGAAATAATTTGTGATCCGATGCAACAGAGGCCGGCACTGGCTATCGGCATGCAGTGAAGGCATAAAATGTCAATCCACACTTTTTACTGCCGTCCTCCTAATCTTACAGCATGAATATACTGGTCATTCACAGATGTACAGCATAAAAACACAAGACAGCTACTACTAACAATACATCTACTACTATGCTGAAGTTCCAAATTCTTGCACAGGTCTTCAAGTGTATCACTTCACAGCATTTGACCAAATAGGTTAAAAGACCTTCTTCTTCTTCTTCTTTGCCTTGTCCATAGAAAATAAAAAATGTTCTGGTCTCTAGACTTCAGTTTTGTCTGGGAACTGAGTGTTGCATGCATGTCCATTTTAGAGATATGGCTTCTTTGCATGCAGACTGTTGGTTCCTTGCCTCTTAGGCAGATGCACTTCAAACTCTGAAGGAAAACCTTAATCAGTCACCTCCTATGACATGCTTGTTGTGGTGAGGGTGGGTCTATTCTTTGTTCTCCAAAATGTTGCCATGGATCCCCCAAAAGGAATACGTCAGATAATTTGGGTGCAAACTGGGGAGACCTCAACAATTTCTGGACACTACTAAAAAACATTACCGAAGTACCGAAGCCCAAAGTACTTCAACCACGACTGCAACTGCTATCAACCAGACCAGAACACATTCACAACAGAACATCATGTGATGGACACCATGACAGGAACAGAATCTGATGGGTCAAGACTTTATATGAGACAATGGATTATTAATTCTTTCAGTGCCAAGGAACGCACAATGCATTGATCTGTAACTGTTTACTTGGTAGACATTTCTTGTTTTTCCCTATCCCATTCTACTGCTGCGTTACTCTGTTTTCTTTTCATACTCTGTTTTCGGCTCTCCTGTCAACTTAGGCCGTTAGCTAGAAAGCGGCCGATCGCTTAGTGGAAGTTCTCTCCCTTGGCTGCATTGCGAACACGGAGTGGAAAAGTCACGAATAAAAAAAGGCAGTGAGGTCGACAACAGGGCTGCCAATGCTTAGGTGTTTCCCCCAGATCTGGCTGTTTATCTGACGCTTCAGGGAAATCTGGGTTTTTTTTAAAGTAAATATATTCTTAAATAACAGTGGTATTAGTTGCCACGGATGTGACTCCTGCAGATCTGTATGACTTAATGACCGCCGATAAATTTGCGTGGTTAGGGGTAGGGTTAGGGGTAGGGTTAGGGGTAGCGGTAGGGTTAGGGGTAGGGTTAGGGTTAGATGTGACAATTTTGACGCAGGAGTTCCAAATAATCGCGCACAGTCACATACACACCCAAACAATCTAAGGACTGTGGATGCTACTCAAACGGACAATTTGCCACCGATGGGGCACCAGCCGCGCGCTACTGCCGTCATATTTGGGAGAATTCCAGTGGTGCCACTTCCACAAGCATCAGATTGTTGGCCAGTATTTGGAACTCCTACGTCAAAATTGTCACATCTAACCCTACCCCTAACCCTACCCCTAATCCTAACCCTAACACTAACCCTAACCGTAACCCAACCCCTAGCGCCGCTAACCCTATCTCTAACCCTAACCCAAACCCTATGATGACCGTATAATGACTACGCAACAAGCAACCGTATGATGATAGGTAACAGTAAACCTATGATGACTACGCAACTGTACACGCAATCGTATGATAGGTAAGTATGTCATTTGATTCGTGACTTTTCCACTCCGTGTTCGCAATGCAGCCAAGGGAGAGAACTCCCACTAAGCGATCGGCGGCAGTCCAGCTAACGGCCTAAGTTGACAGGAGAGCCCTGTTTTCTTTTCATTGCAACACTAAGTATTTCTGTCCTAAAGTTGTATTTTTCAGTTCTATGACACAGAAAATTGTTGCTCTAAGATACACGGATTAAAGCATAGACATTGATGAAATGACAATTCTATGGGGCTGCAAGAGTTACGAAATATCATTACCAATCATGACTGTTCTAATTTTACAGTAGCTTTGGTTTGACTTTTTCAGTTTAAAAAGCCAAAAGGCATAGTTGATAGTAATTAAGTGGTGCAGAGACTTACTTTAGACCATGTATTACAGGCAGAATTTGTTTTAAATCGGCAGATTATATGCCTTTTTTACAATTTCACTATGTGCAATAAACAACTGTGGCTGCATTCATCATATTTATTTATGAATCTTGCAGAAGTGACAGCGGAGAAGTGCTGGCTTCAACATCAACTCTGTATGACTCCACACACAACAGACAGCAGCCATCCGGCTTCGCTAAACGTCATCAGTTTGTGTGCACCTCGTCTACGGCAGGTTTGCCAGATGATTCATCCATTGTTGGGGGAAGCCTGTCCTGCATTCAGGTGGGTGCTGGGGCGGTCCTGTGGGCAGGTGGGTGCTGGGGCGGTATCGTCTCCCCGCCCCCCCCCCCCTATCCCCTCAAAAAATTGCTGAGCACCTTTCCCCTAATGAAAGATAAGGGTTCTAAGCCGCCACCTCTCCCCTCTTTTTCAAACCATGTATAGAAGCTCGCTTTTTAAGCTTCTACGCATATTATTTAAAATATTTTTACTTATTTACAATTTATCATATTTTAAATTATTGTTTTTATGCACTTAAACAAGGTATAGACCATTGAACCCCTTTCCTAGAACTCCCACATATCTGCTTTTTTGTGTCGGCGCCTTTCGGCATGAGCAACCCATTTGTTGAGAATGATTGGCACATACACTATGGGATATACGGTAATCCCCCATTGTATAGACCTATCGACACAAACACTATTGGATATACGGTAATAATCCCACATTGTATAGACCGATCGGCACATACACTATGTGATATACGGTAAAAATCCCACATTGTGTAGACTGATCGGCACAAACACTAAAAAAAAACGGAAATAATCCCACATTGTATAGACCGATCGACACAAACATTATGGGATATACGGAAATAATCCAACATTGTATAGACCGATCGACACAAACACTATGGGATATACGGAAATAATCCAACATTGTATAGACCGATCGACACAAACATTATGGGATATACGGAAATAATCCGGTGTCGAAGTATAATTTACGCGAAAGAGCCCGTTTACGTGCTTCGTACTTTGGGATTCCCAAGGCCTCTATAATTCCTTCAGTCCAACGCTTGCATGGTCGACCTCTTCCTCCCTTCCTACCTGGACTGTACATCACTGCTTGCTGTGGTATACTGTCTGCTGACATCCGCGTTATATGGCCAAACCATTTCATCTGTTGTCTTCTAATGAAATCCAAAGCTGCCGCTACCCTAATTTTTCTCCGGAATTCGTCTTTTCCAATCTTATCTCTTTTTGTTGCATTCACAGTTCTTCGCAGGAATCTGATTTAAGTTGTAATTTTTGTTTTCTGTTTTTCGGTTACTGTCCACGTTTGGCATTGGCAGCACAGGGTTGGCAAGGAGTCCGTGCATAGAGTGCTCTTTTGGTTTCTATTGAGACATGTTTGTTTCTTAGTATTGATGCAACTTGCCCGAGTTGGTCTGCTTTGCTACATCTGTCATTAGTCTTATTTTCTGTTTTGTCAGCTGATAATGTTATGCTTTTCAAGCTGGGAGCTCAGATAATTGGCCGGAAAAGGGGGGAGGCTTGAATACACAGCTGCCTGGCTGGGTGGTAGGCGCTGCCTCTGAGCCACCGCGGCTTCTACGTTACGATAATTTGTAGGCCATGGTATTTCGAGAGGCAGCTACACAGAGAACACGTCTCTTAATTTTGTGATTCGCACGTAAGAAGCGTGTCGTGTAAGATGTTCAAAGTTCGACAGGAAAGTAGACAAGAAAGAGACTATGGCTGTAAGACAGGTATCTAAAATATTTGTGGCATCGAAAGTGGCCAACATAGCAGACATCCTGCGACAGTCCCTCAAGGAGGCGGGTCTGGGCGCTGTTTGTGTGCAGCAGCTGACACTTTCTAACAATGGTAAGTCACTTGTCTCTAACAATACCAAGTTCAGCTTGTCAGCTGTTTAGCCTGCGCCGTACAGTGCTGTTATATTTGTGGCCAGCTCTGCGGGATTTTTGGTACTCGTTACAGGACAATACTGTAAATAATTATGAACTCGTTACAAGACAATACTGTAAATAATTATGATGACAATTGCATACATGTAGTAGTAATACTGCTAATACTGATGCTGCTGCTTCTACTACTACTACCACAACAACAACAACTACTACTACTACTACTACTACTACTACTACTACTACTACTACTACTACTACTACTACTACTACTACTACTACTACTACTACTACTATTACTACTACTACTACTACTAGTAATACTTATACTACTGCAACTGCTACTATTACAGTATACTGCTCGTTACCACAAATGTTTCCTCAGTCGGAGGCCAAAAATTAAAACTCTTGCCCTGCACAGTCCGCGACGACAGCGCTACACACTCCGGTTCCAGATGTCCCTACCCAGGGACTCATTACCACCACAAGGTAACAATGCCAGTCTAAATAAAACATCAGATGGGAAGTTAGGGTAAATAAATCATACTGACTTTACGAATCAGCAAGAACAGGCTTTTTTTTTTTTTTGCCAGCATATCCCTTCTTCATAAGTACTTGAGAAAATACTGTGCTGTTTTGATTATCATTATTTCATTCTGGATTAGAGACAAGGGTCTCCTGTCTCCTAGGTGATATTTTCATTTATGTAGAGCACCCTACAATCTATTTTTTCCATAAAACTGCCAGATCGATGTTTATTGTTAATTTAGTTTGGTGTTTTATCTGCATTTTTGTTAATCAACAGATGAGGTATTACTGTACCTTAAGCTAGAGAGATACTATCCCACCAGATCACTTTAAATATTCCCAAAAATTGATTATACAGCATGGTTTTCATAATAATTTAAAAATCCACTTCAACTCTTTGAGTCCCAAGGAACGCATAATCCGTTCATAGGTTACTGCCTAGAAGCCGAATGAAAGCATAATGCGCCGATTTTACGTCTCTCTTGACTACACCTTGGGCCTGTGATGCTAAACCCCTTGGGACTCAAAGAGTTAAATAGGCTATATTAAACCGAACAATCTATTTGCCTACAGTCTGATACAATTAAAAACAGTATATGCAATATTAAATAGCCAAAAGTAATTGACAAGCATGGAAATCGAATACCGAAATATTTTTTTTAATATATGTATATCTCAGGCATCATCCAGATGAGTTGAACAGGAATCAGTTAACTATAATTACTTGTTATTTAACTCTTCCAGTCCCATGAATTTTGACTACTTGGCTCACATTAATTTCCCTTTACAAAAATGGCAAACAGGGTGGTGTAAAAAAAAAAAAAAAAAATTAAAAGGCCAGTTAGAATGTAGTATATTTCTAATCCCTTCAAAAGTATGTATATTTTTAAAGAAGAATGATTGAACATTTTAAATCTTATGATATGTTTTTATTTAATACTGTTATAGTACATAGGGAGGAAAAAAAGAATTCAGCAGGTGTTATGTTTACAAAGACACAATTTTACACACACCAAAAAAGTCTTCACTTACCTTGGTTTTGTCGCCAATAAGAGCAGTGAATATCCAAATGTGAGAAAAACACTTTAATGTGTGTTCAGTTTTTTAACAAATTCATAATTTATGATACGTTTCTGGTTTAATATATCATTCAGAGGCTCTATGTTCTCATAGAATGATGAACAAAATGTCAGATTTAAAAAAAACACATAATATTGGACCTATACAAACAAAATAATAACCCTGTAGTTATATACATACTGTAGCTACAGGGATTGCAATGCAGTTTAGCCGTAGTGTGAGTATGGTATTGTCTGAAACAGTCATTTGAATGCAAATGTAGGTGACTGTCACATCTTTCCCAAATGAAATGGGTCCTCTGCATACAAATAAGTCAAATCTGTAAAACGGATGTGCACACAACACTCAGGTTCTGGAATAAGACCCAAGTCCAGAGATGGACGAACAGCCAGAACATTTGGATGGAGTTACAGCTGGTGAACACAAGGAAGAGATGAAGAAGTCACAAATTATTCTCACACTTCGTTTCTCTTTCAACATAAGATACAGGGTTATCCAAGGAAAGCTTGGACAAGATCCCTGGCATTGAGGTCCTGCTTGCTGATCCAGTATTTATAGCTCAAGTTTTGGTACATCCCGGTAACAAGTCTAGATGGATTCAAAACACTTTTGCTGGTGAGCTGTGTGACTTTCTCGTTTATTGGATGCAGGTATTCCTTTTCTTCTGCCTTCTATCAACCAGTAAAGTATAGGCACTCAAATTCAGACTAATCCTTTTGAAGAGTAGTGGATGTGACAGCCAGCCTCATGCCAACCCTCCTGATTTGGCTTTCGTGACTTACATGGATTATACATCATTACTAGTAATTTCTTCTACTATGGAGCCCATAAAATACAAGAACAAGCATTAGAATCCAGTGAAACAATAATACAATCTCTTTATGGTCTCACATATTGTTTCTACTGAAAATTATTAAATAAGGACAGGTTGAAGATGAAATAGCAAGAGGGAGTCAAAGATATCAGTGGACACATAATACCAGTATTTAGCCAAGATACAGTCTAACAGAATGTACGATCAAGGCTCAGAAAGAAATGATGAGAGATTCAGCTGAACTTGGCTGTGGAGGCAAAAACTAAATGATGATGAAGATTCTTTTTAAAATAATGAGTTTATTTGAGTGAAGAAATAAAATCACTGCACTGGCGACATTGACCGACGACCCGACAAGTTGCCATCATAAAACATCTATTGTTTCAGAATCAAAGACAATGTATCCAATTTTATAAGAAAGTGCTGCTGGAACTATGTCGGCCATGCACTCAGAACGTATAAGACAGGATTTCCCTATAAAGCCCTCAAATGGACACCTGAAGGGGAAAGAAAATGGGGAAGACCAAGAGAAGCTCTGCTTAGAACCATCTTCAGCGAAGGCTCAACCATGGGCCTGACAAACATCCAACGAACCGCCAGACATGGAGAGCTATGACCTTTGCCCTATGCGACACCCTATGCTCAAGAGGAAGGACTAAAACTAGCTGGAGACATTCCCATAAATGCTCGATTCCCATTGTGGCATGCAGGGCAGATTCTCAATTCTGATGATACCTGTAGCAGTATGATTGTGTGTCCATCTTGTCTTTCCTCAGAGTTTGGAGTTTCAGCCATGTCTCATTGTCACTCCATTCTGTACTGTTCTCTTCAGACTGTGATAAACTGTTTGTGCTTCCGCTCTGTTCGCTTGCCTCCCCCCCCCCTCCCCTCCGAGAGTCTAAAACATACAGAATGTGATTTAGCTGCAGACAAAGAAACAAGACACACTAACATGTGATTAGGTAACTCAGCTGACAGATGTGCACATTTCCCTTATGATATGGGTACAAAAGATTTTGTCCACTGGGAAAAAGGGGAGGGTGAGAAATTGAGCTGACCACTTTTACTTATGATGCAGGAGCAGAATATATATATCTATATAATCTATCACTTGATACCTCTGCAGCAGTGGCTGCCAATGGAATTACTTTGTAATGATGCCAATACTACCTGTTGCTCATTGTGCATAAAAGTCAGCCTCCTATTGTAAAGACCTTTGTTCACATCAGGGCAAATAATGCTAGACTGATATTTTTGTATATACTGCCTGGTGTTCAGAGGTTGATTTAGTCAGTGGCTGATGTGGTCAGTGGCTGATGTGGTCAGTGATTGATGTGGTCAGTGGCTTATGTGGTCAGTCGTTGATGCGGTCAGTGATTGATGTGGTCAGTGGCTTATGTGGTCAGTGGTTGATGTGGTCATTGATTGATGTGGTCAGTGATTGATGTGGTCAGAGGTTGATTTAGTCAGTGGCTGATGTAGTCAGTGGTTGATGTGGTCAGTGATTGATGTGGTCAGTGGTTGATGTGGTCAGTGATTGATGTGGTCAGTGGCTGATGTGGTCAGTGGTTGGTGTGGTCAGTGGTTGATGTGGTCAGTGATTGATGTGGTCAGTGGCTTATGTGGTCAGTTGCTGATGTGGTCAGTGGTTGATGTGGTCAGTGGTTGATGTGGTCAGTGGCTGATGTGGTCAGTGGTTTGTGTGGTCAGTGGTTGATGTGATCAGTATCCTGCAAGCCGACATGACTTCCCTGGCCATTACCTGGTGCTCAGTGGTTAATGTGGTCAGTATCCTGCTAGCCGACACGACTTCCCTGGCCATTACCTGGTGCTCAGTGGTTGATGTGGTCAGTATCCTGCTAGCCGACATGACTTCCCTGGCCATTACCTGGTAGTCATTTCAGGCTGGGTCGACCTGAGAGCAAGGGAGCAGCATGTTGAGAATGTTAGAAATAATCTGTTTTATTCTTTTTATTTTTCACCAATGCCAGGTCTTGATGCTATAGTGAGAGCTTTGGGGACACTGGAGGTATGTTGCTTGATTGTAGATGCTTTTAAAATTGATGCATTGATGTGCAGGTCATGTAGGCACTTTTGAGGGTCTCAGTGATGAAGTGTTCCAGCCATTTGCCTGTGCATCTGAAGGTGGTGGGTTTCTTTCGCAGACACACTGTTCAGTTCACAAGAGAAGTTTTAAAGAGACTTCTGGGGATTGTTGCTGGAGCTATGAAGTTATGGTTTTGTGCGACTCTCTCTGCAGGGGACTAAGCCAAATTGGATAACCTGGAGCACTAAGTCAAACCTCTTGACTTTAACTAACTGTTAAGTATGGTTGAGGCAGTCTTTCCTTCCAATGTAGAACTGAAATGCCAATTTCATGGGGACCGTCGAAGATCTCCTCTTTATCTCTCCAGCTCAGCAACCTGTGGGAAAGCACGACCAGCACTGCAACTTCCCATCTGCAGAGATTCACAGCTTTTCATGAAACATTGGTCAAACATAGAGGTCTTAGTGTGAGATCTGACCCTGGTCTTATGAGATCTGACCCTGGTCTTGTGAGATCTGACCCTGGTCTTGTGAGATCTTACCCTGGGCTTATGAGATCTGACCCTGGTCTTGTTACTACAATTTCTGTAGATACTGTCAGCACAGTGATCGCCTGAGTTATGAGACATCATTACATATTTCTGCCAGCATTATGGTCACATGATCATAACCACACTGAAGCAAAAAATTATTTAAAATTGACCTGGCCTGCTGAGTGGGCTCGACATAAAGGAGTCAAATAAATTGTTTGAGAAAGTCAAGGCAGTCTCCATGTTATGGACCATTTTAAAGATAAGGTGTATTTTTTATTGTTATTGTTTATTTTAAATTTTTTTTAGGGCTATTTTGTTTTGGAAAGCCCATGATATATGTAAAATGCATAACCACTGGGAATATGGTTTTATGATTATTTATGCATATTCATAAGTTAGACTGGAATTGGGGTGGAAAGGGGTGGGGGGAGGGGATTTTATACATGAAATATGACATTATATCTCTATGAGCTACTTCTGTGCCACCTAGTGTTTGAGTCAAAATGTCCGTCAATTAAACAGAGCTCTTCAGAATGCAAAGAGGCAGCCACCATGTTGTAACAGTTAGACACTCGCCTGCAGATCAGAAAGTCGTTGGTTCAGATCCTAATTGAACTAGGCTTTTATTTTTATTTTTTTTTTTAATAAATGACTTTGCCTCCCAGGTCGACCCAGCCTTGAATGGGTACCAGCTGAAGTCCTGGCAAGTAAAGACGGCTGGCGTGATGCTGACCACATCACCCACCACCAAGTGCCGATTGGTTAATAAAAAAATATGTCTATCCCTGTATGCCCAATATGTCTGATGGCGTGGAATGGATCCTTAGTATGCAAAAGGTAAAACAACATGAATTCTGTAAATAGATTACAATGAGCAGAAATATGTGACTGTTTTCTAACCACATGAAATGCCTGTCCAGCTGTTTGAAAAGAATACACGCTTGTTTCAGAAATCCCATGAAGTTACTTGATACGTTGATAGCATCATTCTAGACAATAGCATTTTTGTGCGCAATAGGCAGGCGTGTAAATCACAACCCATAAGACAAGTTTAACACAAGCGTGTGCGTGCGCACACGCATGCATGCACACTCACACACACACACACACACACACAGAGAGAGAGAGAGAAAACCATTTAAGGACTCTTTTCTCGTCAACTTTACTATCCAGGAATTTACCTGGTACCCATTTAAGGCTGGGTTGACCTTCAAGCCGAGGTCATTGTTTTGAATAAAGTCTTGCTCCTTCAGGACCTAAACCTAAGACCTTCAGATCCACATGTGAGCGTCTAGCCGCTACACCACTGCTGCTCCCATAAGACCTGTTAAGGCCAGCATTATCCTTCTCTTGGCATGCCTTATTTACTTCAAAGGAAAGGTGGCACCAATATTTTTGGAACAATGCCTGCTGCCCCAGCTGCCAGATCAGATAAGTAATGCTGTGTCTGCTCGCCTCTCAGAAGTTAGTATCTAGACCAGCTGCAAACCAAGATTAAGGGCCTGGTCTGCCCTGTTATAATGTTGAGTTTTCAGTTGGAATTTCTTCTTCTTAGGATATGGCTTTCTACCAAGATTGAACAATATACATGATGGATGTTGATTTCAGACACTTCCTGAAGTGGCTTGATACCAAGACTGACCAAAATACATGCCTTTTTCAGAAACCACCTGAATTTTTGTTGACTCGGCAAACAGAAGGCTTTGGGCAATCAATGGCAGAATATGTCATTGGTCAAATAGTTGCAAGAGAAAGGAATTTTCCACTGATGAATGATTTGCAAAGGGCATCCAGATTTGACTAGTAAGATGTTGACATTCTTCTGTAAAATGTGAGCAACATTATACCTTTGTGTTCTCCACAGAATTTTATTTCTTCCAGTCTGTTTCTGTTTAAAAAACACATTGAAAATGATAATGTCAAATGTTATGTTTGCTGAACCCTACTGTATGGTGCAGAAATCTGGACAATAAACAAGTCATTAGAAAATTGTAACGAGTCTCTAGACAACTTCTTTTTATCTTTTGTCATCACGCTGTTAGCAAGTTGTGGCCCAATGTAATAGTTTTCTTTATCTTGCACTTCTAGGGTGGCTCAGTGGATTGTTTTATTAATCAATTTGCAGGATTCAACTGCCCATATATATCCATCTATCTTAGCTTCTCTGAGAGGTTCTGCTTTAGAAGGTCTCATATAGCTTGTTCTGGCTTTAAACCACTTCATTCTTTGGCCCACAATATAAATTCAGACATGATCTTTTGCCAGCCTTTTCTTTAATGCTGGTATTCATGACCCTTCCCTTTCTTTTATTGTTGGTGACCTTTCAGATTCAGCGACTAAGGTGATTAAGTAGAATTTTATTTGTTTTATAATTGAATTAGATTATTTGTGAGAAATCAAGTCTCTTTGCAATAAGTGATTATATGTCAGTAACTTGCAGTTCACAGCTGACCCAGTACAGACGCCTGAATGAGTTAAACCTGGGAATTCTGGGACTTGGAAATATTGGGACAGAAGGTTAGTGTAACTGCCATTTTGAAACAGATTTCCTTGCACTGATTCATCCAGCTCAGTAACTTCTTCATCTTCTTCGTGTTCACCAGCTGTACACTCTGGCGGAAAGTTCTGGTTGCTCGTCCACTACTTAACTGCAGTCCTGCTCCAGAACCTGAGTGTTTTACAGATCTCATTCTCTTGAATACAGACTGTTGGTTCCTTGCCTCCCTGGCAGATGCACTTCGACTTCAAAGGAAGCTCCCCAATTAGTCGACTCTTACGACATGCTTTTGGGGAGGCAGTGGGTCTATTCTTGTTTTCCCCACAATAGGGCCCCGGAACCCACACGGGGGAGCTCAGTAACTGATAATCTTATCATCATAGTACATTAAATGGCAGAAGTTCAAGTCTACTCTTGTGTTGTATTTCACATGTCTGTTGAGCTTCAGTTTGTTGAATCCTTAACAGTTTTGGAATTATTGAATGCTTTGCAGACTTTGGTAATGAATAAACAATGTGAAGGCCAAATTTAGTTTTCTGAAATGGGGTTATATGAAAAAATAGGAAGTGAATGACATGAAAAGAAAAGAGATAAATGTGTCACAAAACCTGGGGTTAAAGAAAACTTTACTACTGGGTGAGATCACTCATAAAGAGAAACAGATTTTTTGTTAAAGGATCGGTTGGAAGAAACAATGAAATAGAAATATTTGATGGAAAGACAAAATTACGTATGAGTGAATAACAAAATTAAGTGTGAGTGAATGACAAAATTACATGTGAGTGAATGACAAAATTACAACTGAGTGAATGACAAAATTACATGTGAGTGAATGACAAAATTAAATTGGAGTAAATGATGTTGAATGATGGACTGGAAGTGGTTTGTATTAATGCACTGGAAAGAGGCTGTCAGACACTATGAGGCTAACTTTCAGTTTTGAGAATGCACTTGATGATGATGATGATATTAAAGGCAGTATTTAAATAATCGTGCCATTTTATCGACACAGTGGCCCGTCAGTGCAAAGCTGTCAACATGACAGTGTGGGCGGCTGTCAGAGATGAGCGGCTTTTTACAGGCCAAACCAGCCATCAGCATGTCCACTATCTCAGGTATTCCATTTTATTTGTGAAGGTTCCCTATAGCCGAACCTGCTAAGTCAAATGTTAGGCTATTTTTGCACACTAGCCCATGTCATAATTAAGTGGGATGATCAGATCTGTTTCTGTATCTTTGCTTTCCTGTACAATTTCTGGCACCCATTTTACTAATCGTGGTTGACAACAACCTCCTTTAGTCATATCAGATTGGTGGAAGCCCCTAGCAGCACAATCTGGCATTTCTTTCTGTTGCTTCCCTTTTCTGCTTGTCTTTGTTCTTTTGGGTCAGATAATTCTTTAAACTTCACATAAACTTTACAGTTAGAAACCTTTTCTTCCCAAGTTGTGGTTGCCTAGCCAACAGTTTCCATGTCTGATTTGCACATATCTTTGCTACATTGCTGTGGACATACCATTTTTCTATTACTATATGCTAGCTGGCCACTGAGAATGTTGGGTTAACTAGAGAGCTGTAGAAAGGTTCACTTATCAAATATTATGATTGTTTAAGAAATTAGATCACTGTTTGTGATAAGATGCTGTATGTTTCCTTGCATCATAGAGGTCACAAGCTTGATATTGCAAAAAAATCAAGGAGATTTGTATGGGCTGCTTAAGTGCAGAAATACCTGCAGATAATAACTAATATAAATTAAGAAATGAAACTTGTACAATGTAATTAACTGTAAGGAGTTTCTTGTAATGTTAGATCTATACAAGTAATCTAAGGAACACATTACACACAGCTGCATATACATATGCACTCATGCATTCATACATACACTCATATAGATAAACATAAAGGCATACTAACATTTCTAACTAAACTTATTTTGTGCAATTGAATAAACACAACAAAAACTATGATTAGGAAACCCAATGAGGGGAAAGGGAAAGATCTGCACAGATGCACCAAAGTTTTCACAAGCAAATATTTACAACCACAAATTCATAGTTTGTGTTGAATTAATTATTCTCAGCTATTTATCAACATCACTTTTTATTTTCTGCAGCATCTTTCAGTAGTTTTACTATCAACACCTTTTTTGTTCATTTGTTTACAAGTTTTTTACCCTCTACTAAATCATTAAAGTCTATCTAGCTTTTACATTGACTTCTGGAATTAACAGTCAAAGGTTAATCATTCTCAGACCCATGTCCAAGTTGCCAGAACTGCTACAGGAAGTGGACTACCTGGTCAGTATTTTACCCAGCACGCCAGGCACACGAAACCTCCTCAGTGGTGATGTTCTGAAACCGTGTGCAGGAAAGGTGATTTCACAGTTTTTTGTCATATTTCTCTGATTGATAAATTCAGGAGCATTGTTAGTTGGTTGGTGGGAATCTTCTGTAAAACTGAGATTGTGAACTCTTGAGTTTGATGCATCTTTGTACAATTTCTGTCGGCTCTACAATGGCTTGGGTGTACCATAAGGAGTTTGATGCTGATAGACTCTGATGATTAGGGCAAATACAGGGAATGCTAGGAAACAGAGAGACAAAAACTGCATACACAAAAGAGTTGAATGGGAGTAGACCCTGAGGCAGGCCAAGAAGATGGCTAAGAGTTAATATAAGGAAAACTTATAAACACTTGGAAAGAGATGACCAGTCACAGAGATGAATGGAGATGGATGACATCTGCAGTGATCAACATCAGGGCTGAAAAGAAGTAGTATGGCTCAGAAGTAAGCCAGTGCTGTGTCACGGTCAAAGTAAGCCAGTGCTGAGTCATGGTCAAAGTAAGCCAGTGCTGTGTCATGGTCAAAGTAAGCCAGTGCTGTGTCATGGTCAAAGTAAGCCAGTGCTGTGTCATGGTCAAAGAAAGCTAGTGCTGTGTCATGGTCAAAGTAAGCCAGTGCTGTGTCATGGTCAAAGTAAGCCAGTGCTGTGTCATGGTCAAAGTACACCAGTGCTGTGTCATGGTCAAAGTATACCAGTGCTGTGTCATGGTCAAAGAAAGCCAGTGCTGTGTCACGGTCAAAGTAAGCCAGTGCTGTGTCATGGTCAAAGTACACCAGTGTTGTGTCATGGTCAAAGAAAGCCAGTGCTGTGTCATGGTCAAAGAAAGCCAGTGCTGTGTCATGGTCAAAGTAAGCCAGTGCTGTGTAATGGTCAAAGAAAGCCAGTGCTGTGTAATGGTCAAAGAAAGCCAGTGCTGTGTCACGGTCAAAGTAAGCCAGTGCTGTGTCATGGTCAAAGTACACCAGTGCTGTGTCATGGTCAAAGTAAGCCAGTGCTGTGTCATGGTCAAAGAAAGCCAGTGCTGTGTCATGGTCAAAGAAAGCCAGTGCTGTGTCATGGTCAAAGTAAGCCAGTGCTGTGTCATGGTCAAAGTAAGCCAGTGCTGTGTCATGGTCAAGTCTCTTTTCATTAATTAGAGGCTAATGTATGTTTTCAAATGACAACATGTGAGATGATATGTTTAAGAAATGCAGCTGAGAAAACAAGAAGACACAGAGTCAACTATGAAAAACTAAGAACAATAGTAGATAATCTGCCAGTGAATGATTTAGTAGAATACCAATGAATCAAGTGGTTTGATCATCTAGTCAGACTGGAACAAGATTAGTCAGCAGCTAGAGCATATTACATGAAGGTTTTTGCTCCAAACACACCATGATCTGTGACCTTTCAAACATGCTAGTCTGTTACATGGGAGTCACGTTAACGCTATCACCGGCGATATCCCGTGTTCTATATTACACGATGTGACCACTTTTAACAACCCCACAACATCCAGAACTGGCCCTAACAACAACTCCCCTACCCCACAGCCTAAGCCTACATCCAGTGGGAGAGTGCAGCCTATGTCACGTGGTTTCAGAATTTCTCCTTGTCGCTCCTCAACGCTTACAGCTGAAGTAAATTCATGTCCTACTTGAAGTCTGACAAAGCTATAATATACGCAATCTCACTACCACCAGCCAGTACATGACACACAATATACATGGCTCAGAGATCGAACACAATGCAACGTTAGGACCCTGCAACTTAAACCGGCATGTGTGAAAGGTCATGAAGCATGAATGAACGACCAATCATGGTGTGTTTGGGGTGGAAAACATTACTAGAACCCAGCTGGCTACAGGGCAAGAAGCCGACCAAGAAAGAGATGAGTGGATGGAGTAAAAGAGACACTACAGAAATGCGGTGTGACATTAACACAGGCTACACAAAATAGCAAAAGACAGAAAATTTACATCTAACGCCTCTTTGCAGCGCTTTGCAGTATAAACAGTAGGAGAACAGAAGAAGAATGTTTGTTTTCAGGATGCGCATAGAGAAGTTAAAGGTCATGGTCACCACAGTTCCTAACTCTAAATTTAGTGATACCTTAATCCATTCCAGATCCTTGGACGTATACCAAACATGACGTTTGCAAGACATGATGTATATCAAACAGGACATTTATCAAACATTACATACACCAAACAGATGTTTACTAGACATGACGCATACCAAACAGGATGTTTTCCAGACATGACACATACCAAACAGGATGTTTTCCAGACATGACGCATACCAAACAGGACATTTACCAAACATGACACATACCAAACAGGACGTTTACCAGACATGACATATACCAAACAGATGTTTATCAGACATGATGTATACCAAACAGGACCTTTATCAGACATGACGCATATCAAACAGGACCTTTATCAGATATGACGTATACCAAACAGGATGTTTACCAGACATGACATATACCAAACAGGACGTTTACCAGACATGACACATACCAAACAGGACATTTACCAGACATGACACATACCAAACAGGACGTTTACCAGACATGACACATACCAAACAGGACGTTTACCAGAGATGACACATACCAGACAGGACGTTTACCAGACATGACTAATACCAAACAGATGTTTACCAGACATGACATATACCAAACAGGACCTTTAACAGATATGACGTATACCAAACAGGACCTTTATCAGATATGACATATACCAAACAGGGCGTTTGCCAGACATGATGTATACCGAATGAATTTTCCCATATGAAATTAGGGGAAAACAAATTATCTGTTCCCATAAAAAAAAATCCTATTATCATTGGCATATTATACATTGTCATTGTTGTATACAATCATTTCTATATTGCCTAATACTAAAATACATAAATGCAAAAGCACTTAGATGAAATAAATGAAAAGTTTACCTCACTTTACCTTGCTGAAAAGTCGAGTGCCTACTTGGATGGGACTGAAAAGGGACGAGGAGGAGATATTATTGTTCAGAATGACAGTTCCTTTCAAATCAAACTTCAGGAGTCTGAAATTCTAATTTTTTATGTGTTTTTGTTGTTGTTGCTACTTGAACCTGGCTGAGGCTCATCAAGTTTGACTTTTACTAAAATTCTGCTCAGAGAACTTTGCTTCTGCCTTTTCTTCAGCAAATGTAACATTGTCTGGTCATTCCAGACAATGCTGTTACAACTTGTTTGGATTTTGTTGAGGTGAAACTTCTCTGCAAAGTCATTGATATCTATCCAAGGCATTGTGTGGAGAGACATAAACAAAGATAGCATGCTGTTTCATGGCTAACTTTGGCTCATACGAGTTCATACTCCAAAGTCATATACCCACAAAAGTGTTCACATTTAAACAGGACGTATGCTAAGCTGAACACATACTGAAGCGAACATATACTGAGGTACCACTGTATCTTTACAACCTAGTATTAGGGAAAAGTAACTGCAGTAACAAGGAAATGAGTCATCAAGTCACATAATTCTGAGAGCTAGTATACGTGTACTAGTTTCCATATCTATTGCAGTGTCTGCTGTTGTAGTTTATGTAGCTGCATTCTATTTGTCTTCATCAGAAAACTATTTATCAATATTGGGAAAAGTAACTGCAATAACAAGGAAATGAGTCATCCAGTCACATAATTCTGAGAGCTAGTATACATGTACTAGTTTCCATAGCTATTGCAGTGTCTGCTGTTGTAGTTTATGTAGCTGCATTCTATTTGTCTTCATCAGAAAACTATTTATCAATATTGGGAAAAGTAACTGCAGTAACAAGGAAATGAGTCATCCAGTTACATAATTCTGAGAGCTAGTTTATGTTTACTAGTTTTCATATCTATTGCAGTGTCTGCTGTTGTAGTTTATGTAGCTGCATTCTATTTGTCTTCATCAGAAAACTATTTATCAATATTGGGAAAAGTAACTGCAATAACACGGAAATGAGTCATCCAGTCACATAATTCTGAGAGCTAGTATACGTGTACTAGTTTCCATATCTATTGCAGTGTCTGCTGTTGTAGTTTATGTAGCTGCATTCTATTTGTCTTCATCAGAAAACTATATATCAATATTGGGAAAAGTAACTGCAGTAACAAGGAAATGAGTCATCCAGTTACATAATTCTGAGAGCTAGTATACATGTACTAGTTTCCATATGTCTGCTGTTGTAGTTTATGTAGCTGCATTCTATTTGTCTTCATCAGAAAACTATTTATCAATATTGGGAAAAGTAACTGCAATAACAAGGAAATGAGTCATCCAGTCACATAATTCAGAGAGCTAGTATACATGTACTAGTTTCCATAGCTATTGCAGTGTCTGCTGTTGTAGTTTATGTAGCTGCATTCTATTTGTCTTCATCAGAAAACTATTTATCAATATTGGGAAAAGTAACTGCAATAACATGGAAATGAGTCATCCAGTTACATAATTCTGAGAGCTAGTATACATGTACTAGTTTCCATATGTCTGCTGTTGTAGTTTATGTAGCTGCATTCTATTTGTCTTCATCAGAAAACTATTTATCAATATTGGGAAAAGTAACTGCAATAACAAGGAAATGAGTCATCCAGTCACATAATTCAGAGAGCTAGTATACATGTACTAGTTTCCATAGCTATTGCAGTGTCTGCTGTTGTAGTTTATGTAGCTGCATTCTATTTGTCTTCATCAGAAAACTATTTATCAATATTGGGAAAAGTAACTGCAATAACAAGGAAATGAGTCATCCAGTTACATAATTCTGAGAGCTAGTATACATGTACTAGTTTCCATATGTCTGCTGTTGTAGTTTATGTAGCTGCATTCTATTTGTCTTCATCAGAAAACTATTTATCAATATTGGGAAAAGTAACTGCAATAACATGGAAATGAGTCATCCAGTTACATAATTCTGAGAGCTAGTATACATGTACTAGTTTCCATATCTATTGCAGTGTCTGCTGTTGTAGTTTATGTAGATGAATTCTATTTGTCTTCATCAGAAAACTATTTATCAATATTGGGAAAAGTAACTACAATAACACGGAAATGAGTCATCCAGTTACATAATTCTGAGAGCTAGTATACATGTACTGGTTTCCATATGTCTGCTGTTGTAGTTTATGTAGCTGCATTCTATTTGTCTTCATCAGAAAACTATTTATCAATATTGGGAAAAGTTACTGCAATAACACTGAAATGAGTCATCCAGTTACATAATTCTGAGAGCTAGTATACATGTACTAGTTTCCATAGCTATTGCAGTGTCTGCTGTTGTAGTTTATGTAGCTGCATTCTATTTGTCTTCATTAGAAAACTATTTATCAATATTGGGAAAAGTAACTGCAATAACAAGGAAATGAGTCATCCAGTTACATAATTCTGAGAGCTAGTATACATGTACTAGTTTCCATAGCTATTGCAGTGTCTGCTGTTGTAGTTTATGTAGCTGCATTCTATTTGTCTTCATTAGAAAACTATTTATCAATATTGGGAAAAGTAACTGCAATAACAAGGAAATGAGTCATCCAGTTACATAATTCTGAGAGCTAGTATACATGTACTAGTTTCCATAGCTATTGCAGTGTCTGCTGTTGTAGTTTATGTAGCTGCATTCTATTTGTCTTCATCAGAAAACTATTTATCAATATTGGGAAAAGTAACTGCAATAACACGGAAATGAGTCATCCAGTTACATAATTCTGAGAGCTAGTATATGTTTACTAGTTTTCATATCTATTGCAATGTCTGCTGTTGTAGTTTATGTAGATGAATTCTATTTGTCTTCATCAGAAAACTGTATTTATCAACATTGGACGGGGAGATATCATCGATGATGCCAGCCTGATACACGCTGTCAGGTTTGTGGAGATTCTCTTTTTATTTTGTTTAAATGTTCTTCTTCTTCTTCTTTTCCACCTTGTACCTCATCGAAGTGTCGGGGGGAGATGTAATGTTCGTTGATGGGCTCTGTTAAGAGCACTATTAAGACTGATGTTCATTTCTGTAAGGCTGTTCTTAATGCCATCACTCCATCTTTTCCGAGGTCCTCCACTCGCTCTATACCCGTTGTAATGTTTGAAACTCCTGCAGCTTTTCTAAGGCATTTCATCTGTCACAATTTTACGTTCATTGGAGGATGTAAGTGTCCACGTTTGGCATTGATAGCATAGTGTTTAAATGTACAAGTAATAAAATAATTGATCATGTTGTGTCACCCTGGGTAAAATAATTGATAATTTGATTGTGACATCCTGGGTAAAATAATTGAAAATGTGGTTGTGACACCCTGGGTACAATAACCGATGATATTGTGATACCCTGGGTAAAATAATTGATGATGTTGTGACATCCTGGGTAAAATGATTGATAATTTGATTGTGACATCCTGGGTAAAATGATTGATAATTTGATTGTGACATCCTGGGTAAAATAATTTATAATGTGGTTGTGACACCCTGGGTAAAATAATTACTGATGTTGTGACACAATGGGTAAAATAATTGATGATGTTGTGACACCCTGGGTAAAATAATTGATGATGTTGTGACACCCTGGGTAAAATAATTGATGATGTCGTGACATCCTGGGTAAAATAATTGACGATGATGTGAAACTCAGGGTAAAATATTAGATGATGTGAATGTAATACCCTGGATAAAATAACTATTGATATAGTTGTCACACCCAGGGTGTGAATTTAGTTTATAAAGATTTCCACATAGATTGCTTGGTAGAGCCTGTAAAGTTAGTTTATAAAGATTGCCACATAGATTGCTTGGTAGAGCCTCTAAAGTTAATTTATAAAGTTAAAGATAGATTGCTTACTAGAGGCTGTAAAGTTAGTTTAATAAAGATTGCCAGATAGATTTATTTTTGGAGGCTGTGAAGTTAGTTTATACAGATTGTGGGATAGAATGCTTAGTAGAGGCTCTGAAGTTACTTTATAGATTGCCGGATAGAATGCTTAGTGGAGGCTGTAAAGTTAGTTTAATAAAGATTGCCAGATAGATTGATTTTTTGAGGCTGTGAAGTTACTTTATAGATTGCCGGATAGAATGCTTGGTGGAGGCTGTAAAGTTAGTTTATAGATTGCCGGATAGAATGCTTGGTGGAGGCTGTGAAGTTAGTTTATAGATTGCCGGATATAATGCTTGGTGGAGGCTGTGAAGTTAATTTATAGATTGCCAGATAGAATGCTTAGTGGGGGCTGTGAAGATAGTTTATAGATTGCCAGATAGAATGCTTGGTGGAGGCTGTGAAGTTAGTTTATAGATTACCAGATAGAATGCTTGGTGGAGGCTGTGAAGTTAGTTTATAGATTGCCGGATAGAATGCTTGGTGGAGGCTGTGAAGTTACTTTATTGATTGCCAGATAGAATGCTTAGTAGGGGCTGTGAAGTTAGTTTATAGATTGCCAGATAGAATGCTTGGTGGGGGCTGTAAAGATAGTTTATAGATTGCCAGATAGAATGCTTGATGGAGGCTGTGAAGTTAGTTTATAGATTGCCAGATAGAATGCTTGGTGGAGGCTGTGAAGTTAGTTTATAGATTGCCAGATAGAATGCTTAGTGGGGGCTGTGAAGATAGTTTATAGATTGCCAGATAGAATGCTTGGTGGAGGCTGTGAAGATAGTTTAAAGATTGCCAGATAGAATGTTTAATGGAGACTGTGAAGATAGTTTATAGATTGCCAGATAAATGCTTGGTGGGGTCTGTGAAGATAGTTTATAGATTACCAGATAGAATGCTTGTTGGAGACTGTGAAGATAGTTTATAGATTGCTAGATAGAATGCTTGGTGGAGGCTGTGAAGTTAGTTTATAGATTGCTGGATAGAATGCTTGGTGGAGGCTGTGAAGATAGTTTATAGATTGCCAGATAGAATGCTTAGTGGGGGCTGTGAAGATAGTTTATAGATTGCCAGATAGAATGCTTGGTGGAGGCTGTGAAGATAGTTTAAAGATTGCCAGATAGAATGCTTATTGAAGACTGTGAAGATAGTTTATAGATTGCCAGATAAATGCTTGGTGGGGTCTGTGAAGTTAGTTTATAGATTGCCGGATAGAATGCTTGGTGGAGGCTGTGAAGTTAGTTTATAGATTGCCAGATAGAATGCTTAGTGGGGGCTGTGAAGATAGTTTATAGATTGCCAGATAGAATACTTGGTGGAGGCTGTGAAGATAGTTTAAAGATTGCCAGATAGAATGCTTAATGGAGACTGTGAAGATAGTTTATAAATTGCCAGATAAATGCTTGGTGGGGTCTGTGAAGATAGTTTATAGATTGCCAGATAGAATGCTTGGTGGAGGCTGTGAAGATAGTTTATAGATTGCCAGATAGAATGCTTGTTGGAGACTGTGAAGATAGTTTATAGATTGCTAGATAGATTGCTTGGTTGAGGCTGTGAAGTTATAAACTAATTTTTGTCTTGCTGTTGTCAGGTCAGGCTGGTTGGGTGGTGCCATATTGGATGTCTTTAACACAGAACCCCTGCCCAGTGAGAGTCCCTTGTGGACTTTGCCTGGAGTCACTATAACACCACATGTTAGTGGTATCACTGATACCAGTACAGTGAGTTGTCTTGCTTTTGTGTCTGCTGTCTTTCAGTGTCTTCTTTTTCCTCCTCTACCTCTTCTTCTTTGTCCTCTTCCTATTCCTCTTTATATTCTTTTTCTTTTTCATCCTTCTCCTCTTCTTCTGCTTATTCTCTTTTTCCTTTTTCCTGCTTCCTCTTTTTCTTTGTCTCCTACTTCAACTTTTCTTATTCTGTTTGCAAGTTCAGCAGATAATCACAGCTCTGGAATTAGCTCTGCTATATGTCCCACATCCTGGTGTCTGTTGCTGCTTTGTATGTGGTTACTGTCAAGGAGTTATTACCAGGGTACTAATTACCGTCAGTTATTATAAGAACTGACTGTCTTCCTCATACTGACAAAGAGTACCAAGGGAAGAGACGCATCAATCATACTGAAGGATGTGAACTAACAATTAATAGATACGATTGTGATAGAAAGTGATGAAATGGACCTCCGTTTGAGTAACGGAAAGACAGAAGTAATACTGATTTCCAAGAAAAAAATAGTGCCTAAATGTATAATAAGAGTCAAAGGCGTTACTTTATGACAAGTACAGAAATTTAAGTATCTGGGCACATGGATAACATCCGATGGAAGATCTATCACAGAAATAAAGAACAGAATAGGACAGGCCAGAATTCCATTTTATGCAATAAATCCATATCACTGGAGGTTAGGAAAGTATGCTGTACAGAGCCAGTTTTAACAAATGGTTGTGAATCCTGAACAATTAACAAACAAGCCAAACAATTTCTTGAGGCCTTGGAGATGTTTTGCAGAAGAATACTTAGAATCCTTGGACAGCAAAAAAAAAAAAAAAGCAACCACCCAGACAGTCATCATTTGTTAGTCATGTTATGAGAAGAAGGAAATTAGAACATGTGACCACTGAAAAAAATCTGTGGAAATAGAGACAGAGGAAAATAGCTTCTTGACACACTTTTGTCAAGGCATGGAGGGGTGTCAACACACGAACTGATAAACACAGTTCCAGTTTGTAGATTATGGAAAAGCATGATCGCCCACTCCAGTCAGCATACTCTAGTCAACCAACTCCAGTCAGCCCACTCCAGTGGACTCTCCAGTCAGCCCACTCCAGTCAGCCCACTCCAGTCAACCCACTCCAGTCAGCCCACTCCAGTTGACTAACTGCAGTCAACCCACTGCAGTTAACCCACTGCAGTCAGCCCACTTCAGTCAGCTCACCCCATTCGGCACACTTCAATTGACCCACTTGTCAGCCCACTCCAGTCAGCAAGGTACTTGATGATGATGGTATGCTTTATGTTTACATAGCAACATCAAGGGAAATTAAAAAGCCAGCGAGCAGCCAAAATCCTATCCCCAAACTCAAACAATATCAAATATTAAAGAACATTTTTGTGTGAAGATAAACAATGGATTATGTCTCTTGCTGTCACTGTAGATACAATGGATTGCGTCCCCTAGGGTTACCATAAGAAGTAGAACCCTTTCTAAAGCAAATCTATCTGGTGTCAGTTTAAAAGATTTAACAAGCTTTTTGATTGATTGCACAATTTGTAGACGATATGATATACAACATAAGTTAAAACATGTAAACTGTCTACTTTCTCAGTATATTTGCTGGTGTAACTGTTTCTTCATTTTTCTCAAATCTGCAGGCTGTGAAAACATTTGTCAATAACCTGATTCGTTACCAAAATGGCCAGCCTCTTATCAATCAGGTGGACTTGACGCGTGGATATTAATGGCACTTATTGTATGGAACTAGAAGGGAACTCCTAAAAACAGTCAAGTTTATCACAAGAACTTGTCTATCAATGTAAATCAGAAAGCGAACACAAGCAGAAGAAGAAATGGCACTTCATACTTATGTTATGTGTGTATATGTTATTTTTGTTAAATATGTTGATCCCCTCCACATGCTAACAGTATTGTTGCTGTAATATTCAGACCCGTGTATTGATGTAATGATTTAACACTTCAGCCAAGACTGGGTGAAGACACGGGGAGGTAACTGGCTTGATTTCTCTTTTTTTGGGTCAGACACAGCCAGTAAATGCTTCTTGGCTGGAATGTTGTGTTTAGCAAATACGTAATCTTGTCATACAAAACTGTAAGAACATCCTCAGAGGTGGTGAAGCAACTGGTTGCCTGTCTGTGCCAGGTTTCATTATTAGAGATATTTTTGGCCACAGATTGCTGAGCTGAAGCATAAGGTACTGAGTCCCACACTGACCTGATGAAGATGTTAGACTTCATATTGGTAACTGAACTACAGATATAAGTTAACTGGAGATACTGAATGTTAAGAAGAAGCAAAGATATCAGTACACAAAGGCATTCATGTGAGAATATTGAAGATGTTTGAGAAAGGCACAGAATAGCTCATATCACCACATCAGGCTAACTGTGACCTAGTATATATGCAATTACTTACACTCTTATTAAAATTTCTACCTTTGTGATAAGAAGTAAACAGATTGCCTCTAGAGATCTTTATGTTATTGTTTATTATTTGTATCCTACATATATGTTTTCTCTCCTTCATTGCTTACCACTATTGATCATCCATCACAAGTGGTGGTGATTATTTCTTGCATCCTCTGAATAGATGAGGGTTTATAAGTCCGCCGCTGACTGATAAGGTACATTTTGGTGGTGAATTCTCTTATGGAGTGTAGGCAGGAAATTTGGCCACATCAGTTGGGGGAAGCCTGCTCAAGGACTTTCTGATTTGTCTTTTTGGGAACTACTGCTGCTGTTCTGTCTACCTCACATGCTGCCACTCCCCAATGAAAGAAAAGGTTAAAGGTGAAAGGTTGAGTGAAGTGACTTTATAAATATTATGGTCAACGCCAAAAGTCTTCATGAGATATTTAGATTGGTCTTAAAATGTTTTATTTGTCCATGTTGGGAGCATATTCTTGTATGTAGTTCACGGTGCTTTCCGTCAATATTTCATATATATAATAAACAATCTTGAACATTGAGTTCGTAAGATATTGTGGAAAGTTCTGGCTACTTGTCTATGCCTGGGACTTAGGTCTTGTTGCAGGACTTGAGTTTAACAAGCACACCCCTTTTACAGATCTGGCTTATTTGTATGCAGACTGTTTGTCCCTGGCCTATAAGGCTGAGGCACTTCGACTTTAATGCCTAGTTGGTTGTCTCTAATGGCATGCTTGCAGGATGGGTTGGTCTAAACCCCCCCCCCCCCCCCAAATGGCACCTCGGAAGCCACACACAGAGAAATTAACATTGTATTCAGCCACCCAGTGTTGTTCCTATTTTAGCTGCTCCTCACATTTTCTCCTGCCCTTTATCTTCAATGGAGCATTGGTCTTCAATGATGTGTCTGCCCTTTGCTGTTTGATGCAGCTCGCCCAGTGTCCTCTCTGTTTTGCTTGTCTCTACATCTCCGTGTGTTTTGGGAGCCTCCTTAAAACTCTTCAGTCCCGAAGGTTCTGGTGACAGAACATTTTAGTTGAACTTTGACTAGATTTTCTCACTGTGTTCTGTCCAACAGCGTCGTTTCCCTCTCTCTTGTGGTAACGATGATGGTTTCTGTAATGATGATGATAACTAGTGGTAACAATGATAAATACGGTAATAATAACAACTGTTTGTTAGAAATTGCCAGATGTGGTCACACAACAACAAACCAGAAAAGAAAATGAGTAACCACAGAAATGATATGTCTGAGAATGGCTGCAGGAGTGACCATAACAGATCAAATCAAAAACGAAGCGTTAAGAAAATGTCTGCACAGAACCAATTCTAAATTATATGAACATACAACAAATCAAATGTTTACCCATCAAACCTTGCCATACCATACAAGGAATACACCAAAAAAGGAGACGGACATAGAGCAAGGACTAGAACAAAATGGAAAGATAACATCAGAGAAACTCTTTAACAGCACCATGATGTATCTATTGTCGACGAGCAAGAAGTAGAACCGTAAATCTCCCCCCCCCCCCCCCCCCCCTTTCCGCACAACCGAAGCGGTAAAAGAGGGAGGGAAGAAGAAGGAGAATGATGATAATGAGGATGGTTGTGACGATGATACTGGTGATGATCGTGTTGATGATAATAGTGGAGGTGGTAGCGATGATGACTGATCACAACTCGTCTGATTTGTCTGACATAAATTTTGCTGGTCTTAGCCAAGCACACAAGTTCTCGCTGATGGTCGTTCCCACGACTTATCTGAAATCTAGAGATACCAGCGTGGAGCATGTTTGTGACCTCTCACCACCAACGGAGCTTAAATTATGAGAAATACTTTGACACATACAGACGGATGCTTACAGAAGGGATAGGCGATCACGACTCTCTTTGCATCTTTGTCATCTCATATGTAGATCAAGTTGATTTCGCTCACCTTTTCGTTGGACACATGTAGCTCTTAATTTATCAGCGTCTGTTTGCTTTTTTGTGTGTCGCTGACGGCACTTTTCTACACCAAGGCGTGCCGACACGAGATGAACATTAGGAAGGGTTCAAACACTCACAAATTTTCTGACTGGAGTCTCAAGGGACCTACGCCTCGATGAAGTGTTTGCTATAGTAGCAGCAGCAGTGTGTGGTAAATAAATTAAGTTAAAATTAACACGATATGTGTGAACAAATACCTACAACCTATGTGCGTGGTTAAAGCTGCTTTACACGTCTTCAAAAAATGCCAAAAGAAATTAGAATAATAAACTATATATATTTTTTTTTTCTGAAATCAACCTATAACGGTTAATTTACCGTACTTATTCTATAAAAGAAACATCGAGTCAATAAGCAGCCAGTTTCCGTAAATCAGGACAACAGTGTGGGACATGTCCAGGTTGAGGTAAATAGGTCAGGTAACTGGCAAGTATTTAAAGGGCAGTAATATTGTCGCCAGCTTTTACTGATAGCGACCTGTGGAGGATTCACGGCGATAACCAGAACAGAACATTAGAACAAAATGCTGTCTGTTGTCCTAATTGTCGCTGCTATGGTGTGTATGAACTCTGCGATCGTGTTTGATGGGCCCTGTCACGTACTTCCACAACCAGTCAAGTAAGTCTGTCATTAACAAGTCATGTTCAATTCATGTATTATAAATATATATTTTAAAATAATAATATGTTAGGCTATGTAGCGTAAATAATATACCCTACGTCCTTTTTAGGACGTAATTTTTTGTTATTCGAAGCCCCACTCTGGCTTTTGCCAGGGGCCGCAATATAGGCAGGCCATCAATATGGCCAATTGTCTGAACGCGGTTTCTGGGACCTCTCCACGGTGAACCTCATCCGCATGGTGGCACTTTGTGTCATCGGGTGTTTGTCGCTTGTGTGATGTCCTGGTGGGGTAGAAAGTCAGTCAGTCAGTCAGGCTAAATCACACAGATGTACAAAAAATAAAAATCTACCTATCCCTTTGCGGGATGCAATGTTTTGTTATTTGAAGCCCTACTCTGGCTCTTGTCAGGGGATGCAATATAGCCCGGCCATAAATATGGTCAAATGGCTGAACGCGGTTTCTGGGACCTCTCCACGGGTGTCCTCGTCCACGCGGTGGCACTTTGTGTCATAGGGTGTTTATCGCTTGTGTGATGTCCTGGTGGGGGTAAAAGAAGACAGACAGACAGACGGACGGACGGACGGACGGATGGATAGATAGATAGATAGATAGATAGATAGATAGATAGATAGATAGATAGATAGATAGATAGATAGATAGATAGATAGATAGATAGATAGATAGATAGATAGATAGATAGATAGATAGATAGATAGATAGATAGATAGATAGATAGATAGATAGATAGATAGATAGATAGATAGATAGATAGATAGATAGATAGATAGATAGATAGATAGATAGATAGATAGATAGATAGATAGATAGATAGATAGATAGATAGATAGATAGATAGATAGATAGAGATAGATAGATAGATAGATAGATAGATAGATAGATAGATAGATAGATAGATAGATAGATAGATAGATAGATAGATAGATAGATAGATAGATAGATAGATAGATAGATAGATTTTTTTTTTTTTTTTTTTTACGTATCCAGAAACCATGAGTTGTAAACCCTTTGGCTCGGTACTATGGATATCGCAACCCTTCGGCCTTGATTCCATTATAGGTACCGTTAATCTGGGAGAGATGTGGCTTTTCTGCCTACCCCCGGGAGTGAACCCGGACCACAAGGAGTTCGTCACCCGGCCGCCGCGAAAGTCAGGTTTAACCAACTTCGCTAGAGAGCCGGGCAGATAGATAGATAGATAGATAGATAGATAGATAGATAGATAGATAGATAGATAGATAGATAGATAGATAGATAGATAGATAGATAGATAGATAGATAGATAGATAGATAGATAGATAGATAGATAGATAGATAGATAGATAGACAGACAGGTGGGCAGCCATTAAGAAATAGTTTGGAGTTGGGCCTGGTCTCAGTTGTTGGTCTATTTTTATTTCGATGCTTATGTGGGTTGTAGTTCAAACACAGGCTTTCTCAGGGTGCGTCCTATCCAACGTCAGCTATTTTGATTCATTGGAATTTGGTTATTTCTCACCCAAAACTCAACATTATTGGTTCTATCATGCTTTTTAATCTACTCTGTTTTGCGCAGGCACCACTTAAAGAATGTTTGTAGTTTATCAGTAATTGTTTTAGCTGTTCTTCATTGTCAAAGACTTGCTTACTGTCTTAATGGCAACGGGCTCATTGGCAGCTGCATGATAGAAAGTGTCTAGGTCAAACACAACAAACCCAACACCATCAAAGCATACACATCAGCCTCTAATATAATTTTCAACAAGCATTTGGCAATTCTCCCCAGAGGTGGCTCACATACCCTGCCCCAACCGGCCGGATTACTGTACAATCGCCACTCACACACTGGCCTTCTAGCTGTTCCCAGACATTAACCGGGTCCGAACCAATAGCCTCCGATCCAAGCTCTTTCGTATGTCTCTATACCTCACACTGTGACGGCTGTTCTACTGCACGGCTTTGGCTAATGCTACCTGTGGATCGCGACCCGTTTGGGAGTCGAACGACCATTTCACAGGGGTTGAACGACCATTTCACAGGGGTTGAACGACCATTTCACAGGGGTTGAACGACCATTTTACAGGGGTTGAACGACCATTTTACAGGGGTTGAACGACCATTTCACAGGGGTTGAACGACCATTTTACAGGGGTTGAACGACCATTTCACAGGGGTTGAACGACCATTTTACAGGGGTTGAACGACCATTTCACATGGGTTGAACGACCATTTCACATGGGTTGAACGACCATTTTACAGGGCTCAACGACCATTTCACAGGGGTTGAACGACCATTTTACAGGGGTTAAACGACCATTTCACAGGGGTTGAACGAATATTTCACAAGGGTTGAACGACCATTTTACAGGGGTTGAACGACCATTTTACAGGGGTTGAACGACCATTTCACAAGGGTTGAACGACCATTTACAGGGGTTGAACGACCATTTCACAGGGGTTGAACGACCATTTCACAGGGGTAGCTTAAGTCCATCGAAAAACACAAATTCACTGGAGTTATGATGTAGCAACGAAAATAATTGTATGGTTGGGGAGGGGAGGGAAGGGGTCACCACAAGATGAGGAATTGTATTAAAGGGTGGCGGCAATAGGAAGGCTGAGAACCACTGGGCTAGTGTGATCAGTCAGACTATATATATCACTGCGCCGAGTCGCCTGGGTACCATTCCCCCCGAACTCATTCTCGTCTTTCTCTTGTTTACTGACAAACCTCTTTTGCGAACCACCTCGCTAATACCAGAGTGAAAACAACTAGAACTAAACACAATGGACTAGCTCTCTATAACGCAGATTTTACGCTGCCTAATTAACACTTAAATTATGATGCCGTCAAACTAACACATTTTCACAATTTAACCGTCGTTAACCTAAATCAGTTACGAAAAATCAAAAACAACAAAACTTCTTGGTCATCATTGTCTCTCTCCAACGAACTTCCCGAAAACGCTTTTCTTTGTCTACCGTTCATCCTGGGGACAGTCAGATTTCCATGTATCCTGGAGTGTTCACTCGTCTCTCATGATGTCCTAGTCGGAAACTCCCGTGGGCTGTTAAAGGCGTAGTAGCTAAGCGATCATCTAAGTGCTAATCCGTCATTCACTGTCATCAACTACAGTCGTCCCATAGCCACACAAGCTATTGATATTCGCATTTCAGCTACGCAATAATTAACATTGACATTTAAGAAAATAAAATTCTGTATTAGTTCTAAATTCTTTGGTTTCCAAAAAATTCCCAGTGCTATAAAAACTCCTCTTGTCTTTTCTTTTCATTTCTTATTTCAAGAAAGACAAGTTCAGTATTGGTTCATATTTCTTCTGACTTTCACAAAATTCCTAGTGCTATGAAAACCCCTCTTACCTTTGTATTCGTATTTTTATATATGTATCATTTCCTCCACCGTTGTCTACATTACTGCCCAAACAGGTGTATGACTCCATTTCTAGGAGTGGCATATCATTAAGGGTGCTACATAAGAGATGAGAAACCAACAGTCAGCTTATAAATAAGCCAGAACTGTAAAGCTCAGTGTCTGGAACAAGACCAGCGGAGTTACAGTCAGTGAACAACTAGGAGAAGAAAAATTGCCGACCTTGGTTCTGGTTCACCCTTGCCTCAACTCCCGGGTTCAAGGACCTTACAGTTTTGTTATTTTCTAAACCACTTAGAGACGGGTGGGGGAGAAATTGTACATAAAGTAGAGGCGGGGGGGGGGCATGGGAGATACAGTCTCGCTTAAGTCCATGGGACCTATTCCACACCTGGTTTTGCTGGCGTAAAGGGTAATGAGCGAGCAGACCATTTGGCAAAAAATGCACCAACGCATGTTGGATAATCTCTGACACTAACACAGTTGCGTGACATGGAAGTAAAGCATGGTAAAGAACGCCTATGCCGCCTTCGAGGCTGAAATAGAAGACATTATAACCAACCTGTCATGGAAACAATTAGTTGAAGTACATTGGAGTGGCTGCTGCATCGGAGGACTGAGCACGCATTGAAATGCCCAATGTGTGGTGGCGTGATTGTGATAACATTCAACCAAGTGTACCCAGCCAAAATCTTCAGCATAGGGATCGTTACGGGACAGTGACCAGAGTTTCAGCATAGACAGATCATTAATACAGTACAATTGGCAATGATCTGGGGACCACTTGTTGGGTCTCTGCGGGCTGCATTTGGCTAGCGGGCCGTCGGTGGGATAGCCCTGACTTACAATGTGAAAAATGAATGGAAAGAATATTATACTGAAACAATAATATTTATTTGGTTTTCCGTTTAAAGCAACAACCAGAGAAACAACACAGTAGAGATTCCCGACTCCTGCAAGACCGGAACTATCGCCTGGGACTACCCCATGGTAAGAACGGTGCCTCATTTTCGAAATTTAGAATTTTAATTACATGGCTGTGAAATAGATATAACTCTTGTCTACCAGTCAAATGGTCATGTATTTGAATCCACACTGAGGCACGAATGGCTCCAAGATGCAGGCTCAAGTAGGTGGTCAGAAATATTCTATACGAACTATTCGTCATGGGCTTGTCAATTAAAAATATTCCCGCCTTTTTACATTTTCATTTTAGGATTCTAACACATGTTTGTTCCCGTGCAGGGAGTTCTCCGTGTCCATCTGACCCAGCCCGGAAAATCATTCAACTTGTGCCTGGTCCACTCGTCCCTGACCGGCTTTGATGGACTACATGTGGTCACTGGGGGAGCTTACCGCAAGGTGCCGGTACCGACCGAAGGTAGAGTACAGTATTTAATGGTGGGGACATGGGAGACAGCCGGGGAGATGGGAGATAGTGATGACATGGGAGATAGTGAGGACATGGGAGACAGCCGGGGAGATGGGAGACAGTGATGACATGGGAGATAGCCGGGGAGATAAGAGATAGTCGGGACATGGGAGATAGTGATGACATGGGAGATAGCCGGGGAGATGAGAGATAGTCGGGACATGGGAGATAGTGATGACATGGGAGATAGCCGGGGAGATGAGAGATAGTCGGGACATGGGAGATAGTGAGGACATGGGAGATAGCCGGGGAGATGAGAGATAGTCGGGACATGGGAGATAGTGAGGACATGGGAGATTGTGGGGTCATTGGAAATAGTGGATAGTCGAGGGTCCTATCCCAAATTTCTCCATGCTCTTCGCATAGAGGCCTGGCTGCTTTTTTTAAGTTCAGGCTTCCCTCCATTTTCCCCTCCGTCATGTTTCAGACAGCCTTTTTATTCATGCTGTTCCCGTACACTCATGGTTGTTTTTCCTTCTGATGCCTCTCCTGCAGCCGTCACCCCATGGCATTCCTTTAACAAAGAGCTGGCTATGGTTGTGTAGGCCAAGTAACCTAATTCAGCTCATTCAGTCATGCTTTCTTCAGCTAGTTTTTGTCAACTCTTATGTTTTCTTACCTTTGACTTCGAGAAAGAGCATGAAAAGGTGAACCACTTTTGTATTAGAAAGTGATATTTAATAAATTCAAATTTTTTTAACAATTGCCTAATTCACATTTGTAAAATTATCTTCTTTACCTGAAATAAAACTCTAAGTTCTATAGTTTTAAAACCAACGTATTTTCAATTCTAATATTTCAGTTTGAATTCCTTAATTACCAGAAGATTTCACAGGATAATCCCAAAGTTATATCAAATTTAGGGCATTAGAGTAACTAGCCAGGTTTCTGTAGCATGCTTGGGCTTAACATAAGATCACAATGATAGTTACATTGTATACAATACCAATAGCTGAACACACATGGTGCGCTGGCTGGTTGTGGAAGAATTAACTTATGCCAATAGAAATTGGAGAATCACTAAATACATGGACAGAAAGTTCAATGCATTTGGAAAAAAAATACTGCTGGACTCGATTCCATCCATGGTAACGAAATGATCGCACAGGATGGAATGCGATGACGATGACGATGGTGATGATGATATCGGGAAAGTAATGTCAGCTTTGTACACCCATGCCACATCGGCAAATGATGCTACACTCCAACATTGATAAAACTCAGCATCGTCATCATCATTACCATCGTCATCATAGTCAAAATCATCGTCATCATCATCATTACCATTGTCATCTTCATCATCGTCTTCATTGCCATGGAAATCGCTGCTTAAATGGCATCGGCCATCATGCCTCAGTGTACCTCGCTGTGTGTGCCTTTCCTTAAGCTGATACTTGTACTCGCCAAGATTAAAAGCAGCCAAGAATTGTCTTGTGTTCCCTTGCTCTGTTTGTTTGTCTATTAAATTTTTTATAGCGTAGTCGTTACAAAATATTCTTCTTTCGGTCTTATTGCATGGCCAAACCATACTGATTCTCTGCCAGCCAATGTGTAACCCGACTGTTCCACTCGTCAATCCTTTAGTTGACACCAGTAAACCTTGTTGGCGTGTGATAGTGTTGATCTGAAAATTTATTGCAAGGATCTCTGCAACAAATGTACGTAATAAATAAAAGTCGAGAAGGTCGATTACATTACACCAAGTTTTATCCCTTATGGATGGCTAGTCGCCTGTCAAGTGCGTCGCACAGGGCACGAACGCCATAGCTGCAGCAATGATCCCTCGGATCTGTTTTAAAAAATACACTCGTTAATTGAACGATGCGTTCCCGAAAAGAACCCACGACTTTAAGAAGATGAGGCAAACGGCTAATCCACTTGAACACGAGGTTCCCGTGCAACAAACTCCGTTATACTTAAAGTAAAAAAAGTAAAGAACCCTTGTCCACGCCTTTAGGCGTATAGGGCATATAGGGCTAGACCTTTATTTTTATAGACCAACGGCAGAAGATGGGTGATGTGGTCAGCATCACGCCGCCCGCCTCTACTTCCCGGGACTGCACCCGGTACCCACTCAAGGCTGGGTCGACCTGGGAGCCAAGGTCATTTTTAAAGAAAAGTCCGGCTCCGCCAGGGGGCAAACCCACGACCTTCTGATCCGCGGCGCGCGTCTAGCCGCTCTGCCACGGCGACTCCTAGATGTATACTTACAGTGCTATAATTCATGCCTCCAGTGAATTATGTGTTTTGGTCCTTTTCAGGTAATCCAACCTGCACGCCTTCCGTTAAAGGAGAAGCTGCATTCCTGGTCGATGCTTCCAAGCTTCAGATGTACATGACTTACATCGACTTCTCTTTTGCCTTCAACACAGTTCAGTAACGGAGAACACAGACAAAGGCTTCGAATCCCACAGACTAGCATAATTCTTCGGTTACACGTATTATTGATATGCCGTTATAGAATTTACAGGGAAATAAATTGGCATGCCATTAAACATAACACAACAGAAAAATAAATGTTGATTTAAACATGAACGAATTTGACTGAAAGCGAATGATACTGGTTTTTGGTTGTGGTCGAGGTTTGCGCATTGGGCAGTGAAAGTATGTATTTGTTTCTATGCCAGATAAGAGTCCCGTGTGTAAGTTCAGTAGTGTTTCGTTCAAATCCAATTGTCAGCGATGCTTTACGAATGAAGGAGTCGTATCATGTCTCTGACCCGATAATAGTGTATCCGATACCCAGACTTCGCTGATTGAGACGATAGACAAAGTGAAGACGTTCATTGTGCTCAGGATGCAAGCCACAGATTCGCCTGACGATGGGAAATAGTATCAGGAGACTGTTAACAGCTGCCGCTTTGGCAACATTTCCAATATTAGTTTTTAACTGGCTCCCAGGGGTAAAGGTCCTGTAAAGTAAAAGCGACCTTCGTGATGCTGACCACATCCCCCCATCAGTGCCAATTGGTCTTTAAAATATAGATCTAGCCCTATATGCCCAATAAGCCTGAAGGCGGGGAGTATAAGTACATTTAACCCCACCAGGACATCACACAAGCGATAAACACCCGATGACACAAAGTGCTACCATGTGGATGAGGATCACCCGTTGAAAGGTCCCGGAAACCGCGTTCAGCCATTAGACCATTTTTATGGACGGGCTATTTTGCGGCCCCTGGCAAGAGCTAGGGTCATCATCATCATCATCATCATCATCATCATCATCATCATCATGATAAGAATGATAACGCCGAATCTCTCTGTCCACGATCGCATTCGACGTGAGACGGCAGAAACGATGGATTGAATGCACTTTCAGAGGACATTTCTTCGTCGAAAAATTGCATCCAACAAGGGGATGACTAGACGACATAAGGCGTGGAAAAGGGTCATTTTCTGTTGAGATGGAGCGAATGTTACGAAAACGAGGTTAGGAATAACATTACTGATTTCGTTCAAAGTAAGACAATTATTTATTACGTACATTTTGCAGACTAAATTCATAAAAACAGCATATGATTATCTCTTACATTTGTGTAAGAGAGCCGCGGTTGCCAAATGACCAGGCGCTCAGGTTAGCAGTTCTTAAGTTAGTTTCTGCATTGCGGCGTTTCCCCCCCCCCCCCCACACACACCCCCCTCCCCCATTTTCCCCATTCAGAATTGACCAGGGCTCCCAGGTCGACGCAGTCCAAATGGGTACCAGGTACATTCATGAGAGGTAAAGGTTGGCCACATCACCCATCGATTTCCGATTGGTCTACAAAATATGAGTCTTGTCTAGCACCAAATGTCAATTAGCGGCCCCAAAAAAAAAGTAATTAAGTTCTGCCAGAAAACCCTTATATTTGACTCGACACCAGAAGCGATAACAATGGAACTGAAGAAGAAGATCTATTACTGATACAGGATCCTTGTACCGCCAGTTTCACAAAGGGCATTTGATGGTAGACTCCAGTTTCTCTAGATCAATCGGTGCTCGGTGGGCGATTTGGTCGGTGGTGTGATCGACTATGCTTCCAAAGAGATTAGCTGTTGCCAGTGTTACCCAGTTCACATCCTTACACGCGTTGTTTCACGACACGTCGAACACAACAAGAACATCATACTATCTCTGGAATGGCCAAGAAAATTTTGATTTTTTTGGGTCCTATGTTACCCGGGAGTACTAATCACGAGAGTCACCCTATCTGGTTCGCGAGCGAGATTTCGTTCCGGATCCCATTCATGTTGTGCGAGTTCACACGGGTTGTTCTATGTGGTGAGAGCGTTACGACGTGGCTTGTTTCGCCGTATGTACACACCGTGTCAAAAAGCGGCTGCTGGAGGTTTGTTTTCGCAATTTCTATGAACGGTAGGTCACAGGCGCTAAAGGCGCATTCGTACGAGAAAGAGGTAGTGCAGGGGAAGCGCCGAAGGCGCGAGGCTTCATGAGTATCGAATTATTTATGTTTTTTGTATTACTGGCGTTGACTGTGGCTAGGGGAGACACTGGAAGAGAGGTTTATAGACATATGTCTGGCCCTGATCCTAATGACAGCATTAACCATCTAACAAGAAGGGACCAGGCCACCATCTTCAGACTTAGAACGCAACATACTCCACTCAATGGACACCTAAACAGAATACAGCCACAACACTCCCCAGAGTGCCAGCTATGTAACTACCCCTACGAAACTGTTGAACACCATCTCTTTGAGTGCCCAAAACTCAGTGAGACAAGAAGAACGCTACTCCCTCCGAGACCAGACAAGTGGAACACCTTGTACGGAGGAAAAGAACAGCTTGTGAAAACATGCAAATTCCACTACATGGCATTGGGCCAAAGGGCGAAAGCTCATGCGCCGCTGGATCGATAACAACAACAACAACAACAACAACGACTGTGGCTAGGATAGTTGGCCGACCTGCTTGAAACAGTCAAAACGAGGAAAACATGCCAGCCCTAGGCTATGGTGTCCCGGGAAATACCCTATAAATCACGCGTCCGACGAGATGGGGTGACTTTCGTGATATTTACCACCCAGTGTTGTCCCGCTTGAATGAAAGACTTCGGATGCCAGTAAGACACAAAGAATTATTTGACAGTTTTGTTGAGTGCGTCAGTGGACTCCTCCAGCTTGATGCCGAAGCCCGTGATGAACATATTGACCACGGTGATGGCAAACACCAGAATCATTGTGATGTAGTTGAGGTGCGACGTCAGTCGATCCTCGTTGTAATCTTCCTGTTTCCGTACCAGCAGATCACGGGCCTTCTCCTTATCGGCGGTTGACCCTAGTTTGGTCACTTCTATCACCTGAAATATCAATTGAAACATTAACGACATTCGGCAACTCACCACGTGTCGGTTAGTTATTCTCTATATCAGTAAGCAACTTTCATGTGTGATTTTTTTTTTTTTAAGTAGAAAGATGATATTTTCGTACATGCGATTCTAGTAGATCATTATCATCATAATTAATTTTCACTGTTGTACCGTTGAGCTACGTGGGCAGGAACAGTTTGCGATCCAGTGCTTGATGGGCAGCAATGGATGTCATTCCGTGTCGATATAGAAGCTCTTTAATGATATCAATCCATGTGCTCCTAGTCAGTCTTCTGCTTTCATATCAGATCTTCACACGTTTAGCATCTGTGATGTTAACTGTTATGACTATTTTGAGGAGATCACTCGATCATGTGATCTTCTGTTTCTCCATAAATTTGGTGCAAGATTTGTTCCTAGAATCTGTCTGATGGTATCATTTCCCACTTTGTCCTGGGCAGTTACTCTGGCGGCTTTTCTCAGGCATCTCATTTCGCAGTTGTTCCAGTAGAAGATATACATAAATTCCTCCGCTAGTTAAATAAGTCCCTTTGTCTTCTTGTGCACCCATGGAGGCTTGTTTCTGCAGATATCACACACCCCCATCCGGTTAAAATGGACGATAGACAGCGGCGCTGTTCGGAGCAGAGGCAAATTTTTTGCTTCTGCCGGAAGGTGGCCGAAGTATTTTTGCTCCATTTGTAGACTGGATATAGTTTCGTCGCCCAGCTTCTGAGGTGAATGCATGGCGTGACCCTGTGAGCTGCGGATTACATTTGGAATGTATTTTCGACTGTGACCAACGTGGTGGTGTGAATTGTAGATTCAGAAAATGGCGTGATGCCTGTCGTGCATTGTTGGCGGTGCCCGTATCTGGTTAAAATTTATCGCGTGGACAACTGCTGAACTGTTGGCGACAAGTTCTGCTATCATCAATGATGAACTGCATTTCTAATGTTGGACTGTTTGTGTTAGCACTTCGGATGACTACCGTATGCTTTAATGTGAGTGTATGCTAGATATGCTGAGACAGCAGTCTGTCAATCTTTCCACAAGGGACTGTGATAAACATTCTGGGTGTTTTTCGCTGGCACAGGAGCGGAGCAAAGATGGGGCGACCCGTTGCTATAAAGCTGAAACTAAGACTACCAGACTACCCCATCCATCTATGTGATTGGATTTCTTTTTCCATTAGGTGACAGTGTGTTTTTACTCGAAGATATGTTTTACTATTATCTCTCCTCCCATCTATTGGCCTGCTCACATTCAAGTATTTGTTGATGCAGTTTTTGCCCCTCTATTGTCTGCCCTTCTCTCTATATGCTCCTGTCCAGAAATGCCGAAACTATAAAACCCTCCTACAAATGAAAAATGACTGAATATGCGATACTGGTGTACATAAACTGTCTTTACGCTTTTGCGGGACTATGCAACACAAAAAAGGGGGGGTGTGGGGGAGGGGGGGGGGGGGAGGGAGTCATCAACCTAGTGTACATACATGTGTATTCTCGCGGTGTTAAGGAGTTCTTACACTATGCTGAGGTCCTCCTTATGCAAGACACTGGGGCACTTGTCGGCATCGCTTCATGTCGTGACAGTTCTGCTTGCTTGATCTGTTCTAAGCCATAGTTTTTTTTACATATTTTAATTATTTTGCACACACATACACATACACACACACAAAGATGCAAGAGCGCGCGCACGCGCTCGTTGAGTTGAGGTATGTTGAACTAAGTTCAGCACTGACATCCCGGTATTCAAGGTATTCCCATAAGCGCTGCATCCCTATTGTCAGCAGTCGGCGAAAGGCCAACATGCTAATAGTACCTGCAACGTTTTGATTATATCCCCGTCTTGACTTTCCTGTGAACGTTGTGTACTGGCCAGAAACACACACTCACACATCCACACACACACACCAGTGAAAGAAATAGTTTTTTTCACAGAATGACACAATTAACAACCACAACTTTTGGTTAGCGAAGGGAACTAACTAGAATAAAGTTTCAGAGTGTCCCCGGTATGACTAGTGTGGTTCTTTCCCCTTTCCAGATTTGATCTATATCCAAACCGTAACTGACAAAATGGGATGGATTTATGAAAAGAAACTTACATTATAACAAAATATAACAGGTGCATACAAAGTTTGTTCCACTTACATTTCGTAAAGTTTTTAGATATTCGTCTTTCCGGTGTTGGTCGCTCTCGCGCGTCCACATGACGAAAATGAGAAGTGCAAACAACAACTGCAGGGCTAACGAGAGGATCACCAGGGCGATGAGAGTGATGTAGTAGTCCATCTTGACACCTGCCGCAGAGCAACTGATTAAATGACCCATTTGTGGGTTTATGTAATGAGAAGTTGCTTGGCTCGAGAATTTATTATTTAGTTGACTAACACATTAATTGTTGCCCTGCCTGGTTGGAGAATAGGTTGTATTTCGTTCAAAAAGAAACAATCAAATAAAAAGGTTCTCAGTAGACTAGCAATGACAAGCAAGAGAACTGCTAAATTATTCTTTTAAGACCATGTGAATATTTCAGCCACATTGAAAGACATATCACTTTTTTTTTAAACAACGCTGCATGAAAAGGTCAAAGCCAAGAGAGCAAGATACATTTGCAAGGGCAACATGAAGGGATGGATCAACAGTAAACTGAGCAAGAATACAAGCAGGAGTGCGTATGTTGTTGCAGTGTGTGTTGTCAGGGGGTGCACATCCGTGTAAGTGTGTTTATGTTCGTTTGTTCGTATCGGTCCGTCTGCCTTGCTGTGTGTCTGTGGTGTGTGTGTGTGTGTGTGTGTGTGTGTGTGTGTGTGTGTGTGTGTGTGTGTGTGTGTGTGTGTGTGTGTGTTTGCATATATATATGAAGGTTTGCATTTGCATATCAAATTTTTTTTGTTTTTGTATTTTTACTTGACACTCATACTATGAATTTTGATGTATGGACATAAAATGCATGATATATATAATACAGTTGCCGTCTGAAACATGAGTATTTAACAGGGTTGAATGTAAGACGGGCCTGCTTGCCTATTTTGTACCTCTAGTAATAAAATCGTTCGTTTATTCGTTCACTCGCGTGTATCTATTTTACAAGTCTGTGCAGTCTGTTGCCTCCTGGCCTATCAGGCAGATGCACTCCTTCTTCTCAAAGGAAAAGTCGATCTGATCTCTGGGACGACTGTATCCGTTCCGAACCTTTTATTAGCTTTTAGTGGAGACTCTCAGTCGAAAGAAGTTCGGACCTTTGTCGTGTCCTAAAAGGCTCTGGCCTGAATTTCGCTCATTGCACAGTGAGTTCTATATAAACGAGGTCACCAGTGTATTCGAGTGCTAGAGTTTGTCTGGACACTGCATCACTGTGGGCTCCCAGCTCCGCCTTCCTCAACGCCTGTGATCGATGGGCTCCGATTCGCCTAAGGGACTTAACATTCAATAGTTTTATCAAATATTTTTAGTAACGGCCCTTACCGTTCAAATCCTATTTTCTGGCTAGTGTTATTTCCTGTGTTCATACAGACGTTAGAGATTCAACTGATCAGAAAGCAATGGGATTTCTCTCTGAGATACTTCACCTAACAGAAGTAAAAACTGTATACACCCGGGAGATTAATGGTCGTAGACCACGAGGCAGACCAAGGAGACGATTGGGAGATAATATCCAGACAGACCTGCAAACACTTGGTGTCACCAACTGGAGAGAGAGGGCCAGCCAGAGAGATGAATGGAAATGGATATCTGCAGCAACGAACCTCAAAGGCTCGGAATGCTGAAGAAGAAGAAGAAAAATACTGTACTTAAGTGATTTTGTCAATTCTTGGTTTTATTTGTGGTATTGTATATTCACGTGATATGCTGATGAAGTTTCTCTAGCCGGGACATTTACTTGTCGTTTGTGTTTGTGATAACGTAAAGCTGACTGGTTCTAGTTTTGGTCTGATTTTCTATCGTTTATATATTACGTTTCATATCTTGTCTTGATCAAAATAGCCGAGCTCCAACTGAACAAGTATGCCTATTCTCGTTTAAAGAGTGCTTTTGTGCTTTAGTGGGTCTATTAAAATTCTGATAAGCCACCCACATTCAGATTGCAGATTGCGAGGGGTCCCAAAATATAATTGTTATACAGTTGAATTCGGTTTGTGGTATTTGCCCATGTTTGATTCCCATCAAAATAGCGTTTGAGTCCCTGTGTGGCCAGTTTTCAGGCTGTAAACCCGGAAAAAAAACCTTCATCAGGAAACAAAGTGTTCCAAACAATGTTTTTCTGTAGGGAGTTAAATAATGCGGTCACAAAAAAATATTTTGCCCCAATTTATTTACAAACATGTCACGTAGTATCTCGTCATGTACGTTGGTATAGAGTCACATCAGCTTATAGGCAAGCACAACAACTTTTTTCAAAAATCCACTGAAATACAAATGGTCGCTTGCGATCCATTGTTGTTTGCTAAAAAAGTGTTTTGTTATGTTATCACAATCGACATCATTGCACATTGGGCATTTTCATGTGTGCTCAGTCCTCCGATGCAGCAGCCACTTCAAGGTACTTCTACTGATTGTTCCCATGAGAAGCTGGTTATAATGTCACCTATCTCGGCCTCGAATGCGGTATAGCCGTGCTTCACCATGCTTTACTACCATGTCAAGCTATTGAGTTAGTGTCAGAGATTCATCATTATCAACTAGCCCAGTCCGTACTGCGTTGACGATATCTTCTCTGTCCATTCTTCTTTCCCCATATGTCTGTGCATTGCTTGCCAGTTGGTCTGCTCGCTCATTACCCTTTATGCCCACATGACCAGGTGTGTAGATCCGAGTGAGGTAGGTTTTTCGAATGCTTTCTACACTTGCAAAAAAGTGTGCGTCTTTGTCTTCAGTTGCACTTTGTCAAATAAGTGTAGCCATGTATTTATCGGAACTGCTTGTGTCGGACACATCATGACATACCTGCTGTGAGAAGGGTTCGCAGCTGTGAAATATTGGCCATCATCAAAGCTACATCCATAAGCGCCTGGGCCGCAATCTTCCGCATGCCGAACTGGTTGCTAGACATCAGGGGACCTAACTGGAAAAATTTTCAGTTGTTAATACATACCAGTTGTTGGTTGGGTGTTTTGTTCTTTGATTCAGATCAGGGGAGTTTTGTGTATTTTCTGTCTGCGATATTCAGCTGTACGAGGCAATGAGCAGGCTGACATATTAGCTGCTGTCAGTCCTCTGGGCGGTTGGCTACTTTATGATAAAGCGAACTTGGTAAAGGCTTTCTGGGATCAAATTGACAGTGCAATATAGCAGTCAGAAAATCCGTACAATGACAGACTATCTCAAAGGGTGTGGGGATAAGTAAAGATTCTGGAAGATTTTTAACAATAAGGGAAAACAAACGCGATTTCCAGTCAAGTTACTATTAGCATATAGACTTTATTTTATTTTATTTTTTTTTTTTTTTTTTGGCTACTGAAGTACGGGATCGAGTAGGTGTGGGAATGCCCCGAGAGCAGTGATGTCAATTCTTAATTGAATGTTCGATTCATTCTTTCATTCATTCGTTCATTCACTCATTCATTCATTCATTCATTCATTCATTCATTCATTCATTCGATGCTTTTACTGCGTTCTAGATTTTCTGGCTAGTTTAGCTGATTTGTCGATTCGATGCTTATTTGATTATTTATTTTTTATTTTGATAGCTAGATGTTTGGTTGCTGGGTTTTTTTTTTTTTTTTTGTGTATGTGTGTGTGTGTATATCGGTGTGTGCGCGCGCACGCATGTGTAAATCCTCTGGAAAATTGGAAAATTAGGCTTTAACTTTGAATGTGTTGGCTCCATGTGCAAAGGTGACCATTTACCAGTCTGACCAGTCAACATCACCAGAGCTAGGGGTTACACAAAAATGGTTGCGGCACATCAGCGGAACCGCCGTCATGTAGCAAGCTAGACGCCAGCCTGTGTATCGGAAAGCCGTGGGTTTAGACCAGAACAGAGACAGACTTTCTTCAAAAATAACGTTGACAGGCAGGTCGATCTAGCCTTGACGGTACAAGTAACGTTATGCCAATTAAAGGCGGCCGGCGTGATTTTGAATACATCATCCAACCAGGGTCGATGGGTCTATAATGGCACTCAGTATATGCCCAGTACGGTTGAATTCGTGGGAAAAGGGTCCTTTAAATTCCATTAGCTCTGTGTAAAGTAAAAGTGAGCATTTGTCAACATGACCAGTCATCACTCCAGTAGGTTGTTGCTTTTTTTTCTGGCGCTATGGCCTATCAGCATGATTATTATTATTATTAATTTCATTTTTTCGGCGCTGTAATAATAGAGAAAAATAGACAATGTGTTCTGAGTCCAGGCACCTTTTTTTGACACCTTATTGTGAGCACCGGTATCGTTTTTCTTTTTAGAATCTTTGTGGTAAGTATCGTTTTTTTTTTTTTTTAGATACTTATGGTAGGTATCGGCACTTTTGTTTTAAAAGATACTGAGATACTTGGTGGTAAGTACCGGTCCTTTCTTTTCTTTAGATACTTTATGGTAATACCGATACTACATTAAAACAGCCATGGCTCAAATTATTCTAGTTATCTCCCATAGCCACACCAGACTGCAGGTTACAATAGGTTGGGGTAGCCGTAATCAATGCCGCTGTTATAACTTTTTCAGGGGTTGAACTGGGTATTTGGGACTTACTGTGTGACGAACACATGGATTCTTTAAGTACTTTCAAAGAAGACTGGACTCCTTAATACTACCCCACGAACAAGAAAGGGGTTTATGCGATCATTTTGAGTTGTGAACATTTACCAACACAGACAGTAAATCGTCACAGGTCTACCCTAGAGGTGCGCCTCGCATTGCTGGACTGGTCCGCCTGAGCGACTGAGACGTTTGAACGAGACAACAACGAAGATGGTGAAGTTGCACACGACTTACCGATTCGGCGGATAAAGGGTCATACCCATCCGAGTCGTCGTCAAGCTCTTTCTTGGCATCCTTGGCGACACCTGCCCTCGTCTTGTCCTCACTCAGTGGCCGGACAGTGCTTTTTCTCATGGTGCCTGTGCGTTCCCAGTCGAGATCTGAACTGAAAGCTTTGTTTTCTGACGCTTGCAGTTCCATCACCCGATTGTCTCACTTTTGAAGATTGAGAAAGGAACAATGTAAAATAGAAATGGGCCTTTTCCTAAGATATAGGGTTGCTTTAATAGCCCCAGATCTTTTAAACCATCGCCACTCAACAGATTATGTCTTCTACTAGCTATAAACTTTTGTGGAAAGTTCTGGTTGTTCATCCCCTTCTGTAATTTGGTCCAGAACTGGAGTTTTGTGTATACATCCGTTGTATAATCTGGCTTATTTGTAAGAAGAATGTTGGCTCCCCGCCTCTCATTATAATGCATTCCAGCTTTCTTCTTCTTCTTTCGTTCGCCTGTAATAAGTTGTCTATATCAGTTATTTTGTCTCTTGTATAAATTTCACTGTTGTTGTTAGTTCATTCAGTGGTCCATAGAGTTTACGTTCCACCGTTGTTCTTTCTGGCCAAAAGGTTTGCCTTAATGTGTCAAATTCGGTGCAGCTTGGCCAGATGCTCTATTCTCATTTCCCCTGGCTCCACAGGGCATTTGAAAAGGACCTCCAGTAATTTGGTTAGGGACTCTTCGGGGCAGAGGGCCCGGCACTGCTCCTGCCTGAGAGTCCATCACAGAAGAAAACATTCCCAATTTGTCGCCTCTTACGACATCTTTTGTGGTACTGGGTGGGTCTATTCTCCCCCTCCCCTATTAAGACATTGGACCCTGATACTCATCCCAGGTTAGTGCAGACCAGCGTTCTTCAACCTGAGAGCAGCGAAAAAGTCCAGGCGGCACGCCAAACAATTTGCCTAATCAAGTAATCGGGTTAATCGGGTAGGTGGTGCTTCTCTTCGTCTGTAGGATTAACACCTCAGGGACTTCCTATCGGCGTCAGAATACTGTCTCAGGCATGTAAATAATAAACACAAGAGAAATCGAATGGAAATTATTGTAGCGCTTCCTCTATCAAAAATAACACTCTAGCTTTATATATATATATATATATTTGTGTGTGTGTGTGTGTGTGTGTGTGTGTGTGTGTGTGTGTGTGTGTGTGTAATTAAATTTTGCCAACAGAAAACTAGTTTTGTGACATAAAAAGTTACAAATAAGTTCTTTTCTACATTTTGTGGTGTTTTTTGTTTCCTGATTGATTATCTGTCAGGCTGGCGCGCGAAACAAGTTAGTTAGTCAGCCGACAGATTATTCTCATTGCACATCTAACCATTCAGTCCATAATAGCTCGGTTTCCCTTATCAGTAAATCCCGCAGCTTGTAGCGGCTGACGACACAAGTTCTGCGTTGGTTTCTTCTTCTTCTTTGGCTACCTGTGTAGTGTTTTTGTTTAGCGACACCCCGTTTAACTTGCGGTTCTTGCAGTCTGACCATGCAGATTCACAGTTCTCAGTTAGTTCACGCAAACGTCTTAATTCTCTTAGAGCATTCAGTATATCAGCCTGGTTCATGGCTTGTCCGGCTGTCACATTAGCTTGACCTGCAAGTCTATCAGCTTGCTCGTTTCCTTGTACCCCCACATATCCCGGCACGAAAATGAAATAAATCCTTGTCAGCCGTGAATGCTGTAGAACCACCAACCTCTGCCTTCGGACCCAGCCCTTCTCTATCTTCCTAAGCATACTCATCGAGTCACCGAGAAAGCATGCCCATGTGAAAGCCTGTGTCTCTAGCCATGTTACTGTTTTAGTCACAGCCATGACCTCCATAGTCAGACTACCTGTAGTTACGGCAAAAGCTACAGAATCTTCCTTTACAACCCCACCTCCAACCAGAGCCGTGAAAGCCCACCAGCTCCTAGCGTCGCGGATTACAGAACTATCTGTGTAAATGACAGCATCACCCTCTAGAGCGTTCTCGAAAATCAAGGCTTGAACTTCTGCTATCACAGCAGTCGGACTCTGTTGTCTGCATTTTCTGTCTATCTGGATGCAAACAGAAAAAGATGTACAGCACTCTGAAGGCACTTGCACCCACTCCTTGCCGGGTTCTATGTCCTCAAGTGAACATACCTGTAGAATTATGTCCTCGACTTGACCCTTCCACGATTTCCCTCTTTTTAACCTGCTGCGAAACAATTTCCCTGTTTGAGTAGGCCAGGAGAGTAAACATTTTGAAGAACATTGGTGAAAACAGAATTCTGCCTGGGAAGGGTTGTGGACACACACTCTAGTGACGCCAAGCAAGACTGCCATCCACTGTACTCCCGCTATTAGAGAAGCACATTTATTTAACATTTTGCAAAGCTTGTTTCGACCACCTTCGGGTCCTCACTAACATTGACCATAACAAATATTACGCGCAGTTCATGTTCTTCGAACACCTTCTTCTTCTTCAAGTTCACCGGCAGGTCACTCCAGCGGAAAGTTCTTGTTGTTGAATTTCAAATCTGTTCCAGAACCCTTCTTTGCGTGCACATCCGTTTTACATCTTTTTTAATGCAGGCTGTTGGTTGCTTCTCAGCTAGATGCACTTTGACTTCATAAGAAACATCCATAATTAGTTGACTCTTACGACATACGTAATAGGGGCAGTGGGTCTATCGTCTTTTCTCGCCACAATGGGAATGGAACCCACCATTTATTTTAATCAGAAGCAATTCAAGTGACGCAACGCCTTGTAATCATCATCAGTTGCTTGCAAATGCCAGCCAGCGTGTACAAACCATGAACTCAATTCTAGAGAGCCAACAAACGATAAAGAATAAAGCAGATATTTTCACCATCACATGTTTTCCCTTTTCTGCAGAAACTGGGTGTAAAATCAGCTTTTAAGCAAATGAAAACAAAAATAATGTATATATTTTATCAACAAGACACAACAGACGGGAATGTAAATATCGTTACCGTATAAGTTAATTGTGTATCCTTTACAGGACGTTGCAGAACCAAGCCCAGCATTCTTGTTTTCCTCCCTTTCTGTTGTGGTTGTTACTTTTTCTAGGAAAATTTTACGTTCAGTAGTTTGCCATTACCATCTCAACGGCCAGCTCTCGGTACCACTTTGGAAACCAATGCAAGACAAACCGTCTGCAGCTGGGATCGAACCCGGCACCACGGCATTACGAAGCTCGTTCGCGACACCTATGCCACAGACGCCGACCATTTAATTAAATAACAGAAAGACAATACAGTGTACAAAACATATTTTACATAGCAACAAATACATCTATCTAACATCTGTCTACTCACTTGCAGCAAAGTTTTGAATATGTTAGGTAAATCTTTAAAGTTAACAAAATAACTGTGATTTTTATTAAGAGACAATATGTACCAAAAAAAATATTACTATAAAGATTATCTAATAACTGACCTGGCAGACAAAATCCAAAACAGCGATAGGTAGGCAAATATTTATAGTTAAAGATCCGAACTTGCCTGGGACATTACAATGAACTCTTATCGCTGTTATTTGACAGCGTTCAATCGTTGGGGATCTTTGGCACAGTTCGAATGTCAAACATGATCCGCCGTGTCTTCCCTGGCCACTGACAGCCTAAAGTAAACACACACACACACACAAGAGCACAGTTATGATGTCTTCACAAAGGTCGTGGGTTGTGAGTTCGGTTCAGACTTGCACATTTATTTGAGTAACCAAACAAGATTTCTTTGCTGTGAAAGGGATACAAGTTGGTGACTTTGTGGTAGACTGAACGACATGTTGGCTTTCTGTTGTGGAAAGCCTAGCTGAGAAGTGTGTTTTAGCCAATCTTTCATAATTTGTGGATGAAAGGCAGAGGAGGAGAGTCAGTTACCTCATCTCAGTATGCAGTGGCAAAGTATTGTATAGGTTTAGAATGTTACACCTCTCGGTATTATTTGCTCTAATCTTACTCACCCTAACTACACCAGCCAAACTAAAGTGCATCCATCAGTTGTCTTACTGAAACAAAATCATTTTCTATTTCTACTAGCACGTATCCCAACTTCTGTCTCTGCGACAGTAATGTCACTTGTTTCCAACAGCGAGCCCGTAGTAGGACTTGCTGGAAAGGGGGGGGGTGGGGGAGGGGGAACAGTTGCTCAGAGGATCGATTAAAAAAAAAGATGGATGTACAAATGAGCCTTATGGTACAGTCGAGAAAAAAAAAGTAAACCGGAAGGAAATAACCTTAAACCTGACGTACCGAGTGTGATTAGCAAAACCAGCTCCTCTTAACAAGAACTGTCTACACCTGTATGCAATATCAGTACAATTGTCATCACACGAATTTGACATGTGTTTCTCAGAGCTCATCTCTCTTTAGTTCTTTTCTCTTGTGTCCCGATTCCATTTTTAATTCTCTCCAAGTAGTGTCCCGATTCCTTTCCTAATATCTTCCTCCAAGAAGTCCCGATTCCCATCCTAATATCTCTCTCCAAGTAGTGTCCCGATTTCATTCTTAATTCTCTCCGTGTCCCGATTCCCTTCCTAATATCTCTCTCCAAGTAGTGTCCCGATTCCCTTCCTAATATCTCTCTCCAAGTAGTGTCCCGATTCCCTTCCTAATATCTCTCTCCAAGTAGTGTCCCGATTCCCTTCCTAATATCTCTCTCCAAGTAGTGTCCCGATTCCCTTCCTAATATCTCTCTCCAAGTAGTGTCCCGATTTCATTCTTAATTCTCTCCAAGTAGTGTCCCGATTTCATTCTTAATTCTCTCCAAGTAGTGTCCCGATTCCTTTCCTAATATCTCTCTCCAAGTAGTGTCCCGATTTCATTCTTAATTCTCTCCAAGTAGTGTCCCGATTCCCCTCCTAATATCTATCTCCAAGAAGTCCCGATTCCTATGCTAATATCTCTCTCCAAGTAGTGTCCTGATTCCCCTTCTAATATCTCTCTCCAAGTAGTGTCCCGATTCCATTCTTAATTCTCTCTAAGTAGTGTCCTGATTCTCTTCCTTAAGTCTGCCTCCAATTGTTGCCATCTACGGCACACTGATTCCGCGAATCCAGAAATACACGTGACAGAAAGCTGAGGACCGACGCGGCTACCAACCTGGTATGGCAGCAACTATGAGAAGACACCCAGTGTGCCTAATATGTTCTAAA